AATTCCCAGCAGAATTGAACGAAAATAATTGTAATACATTGGGCAATACAGATATTTTGTTTCGCTTTATTTCATTTACACTTTACTTTGTTGCTTCCTATTTTTTGATGGTTACTCCTCATCACTTGAAAAAGCAGCGACCTAAAGATGAACATTTTTTTCTCTCTCTCTTCCTTTTCTACTTTCATCAACATTTAATATTATTTATCTTCCTCTTTCTCTTTACTCATCACCATGTTCATCTTGCTTTGACCCTCACACGGTCAAACCTTATTTCAAAACTCATCATCATTGAATAATATTAACCTGATCAAAAGCAACAAGATCAAATCAAGAAGAGAGCAAAGAGAAGAAGAAGAAGAAGAAAAGTTGAGGCTATTTTTTAGCTTCTCCTCGAACACAAGGTCCACTGAGAATCACAATTGGTGCAAATTAGCAAGTTTCTGTTGCTTGTCCTTTCCCTGTTGTTAAATAGGAACCGCTAGTTAACAAGAAAACAAAGCGAGAAAAAAAGTGAAAAACCAACAGAAAAAAACGAAAGTGAATGAAGCTCAAGGCAACAGGAAAAATGGACAGCCAATGATGATAACAATAATAATTTTGTGGATAAAAAATAGCGTCAAGCTAATATTCCCCGAGGTACTTTTCACTGCAACCGTTTTACTTCGACCATGGTCATGACACTAATGGTCAAAACAGCAGCGAAAAATGTAAACAAAATGAGAATCCAAGAAAAAAAGTTGTTTAATATTCACTTTTTTTCGTTAATCATTTTAAAACATTTACATTTACCATTGTTGAAGAGCGCATTGTTGGCCAACTCTCCACCTACAGTGATCAGCCAACCTCCTCAACTCTCACCTTTACCGCTGCTTCAACTAACAACATTATCTCAAGAAACTTTTCCTTTACCTTCATCATCATCATAATCAGCTTCTTTATTTCAACTTTTATTTACTTGTGAAGATAGCCTTTGTCCACAAGGGAATCGAGTTATACAACAGAGAAAGGTCCTAACTTGAAAAGGCCCGTCTTTTTTATTCTTGAAACACTTTATGATCTCATCATGAGTTTCATTCGAAGAAATTTTCTTTTCCTTTTTTTTCTCTAATCACCTTGGACTGGTCAGAAAAGCCCATAGGATTTATGTCATATTTATCCTCTTACTCTAAATCCTTTATCATCATCATCATCGTCACCATTCAATACTAGTATTTATTTACACTTGTCCATCAGTGACTTTACAATTTGATGGAAAAAACAGAAAATGACATTTTTTTTCTTCTCTCAAAAAGAAGCGTAAAAAATATTCAATTTCACTCCCAGTCTCATCATTTGAAAAGGCCAATCTTTTCATGATTCATTTTGATCTAGAGAAAAGATTGAGGGAAAAGTTTCAAACTCGATAAAGTTCAATAAAAATAAGTTACATTAAAGACAAAATGAGATTTACATAAAGGAATAAAAGTTATGAAAAAAGAGCAAAAAAACTGTCCATTACTTTAAAGTTTCCCTTGACTTTACTGGCTTCTCTCATTAGCTTTGCATCATTTAAGTCCAACTATTATTGTTGTAATGAGCACTTTTAATAAGACAAGTCGCTCTCGCCGCAGGTTAACTTAACTAATTGCTCGCTCAATGATTAACTCTCATTGTCTAATCATTTTAATACTTGACTTGATATCTTTTCTCTGCCAGTTTATTGCCATTAAAGCTACTCATTATCTGCCTGTCTTTTGGTGTGCTTTTCAACTCACGCTATTCCTCAACAATATAAGTGTCAAAACATTTTCAACTTGCACAGTTTATTCGCTTCGTTTTTTCCCTCTTCTTTACCTCTTCTTGTTATTGCTAATCATTATCATTTGAGCTTCTATTGAAACAGTCAAGAGTCGAATAATGTTGAATATAATAACAAGATCATGGATCAGTTCATTTCAACGATCACTTTGTTTCTCTTTCGCCTTCATCTTCTCCTTTTCTGGTTAGTTTAAACATAATTGTCAACAATTGTTTACCTTTCAACCTTTTTCCTCTTCACTTTACAACTTGTAATTATGTTCAATATTATATCGCCAATTAGACAAAAAAAGGATTCAATGTCTTAAACAATTAACTAATGTTGCCGCACAATTTAAACGCTTTGCAAAATTTTGATTCAAACGCAATGCTTTTTGGAGAATCATGAAAATTTGAAAAAATCTCGAAATTCATTTTTTTCCAAATAAAACATTCAATAAAAGGATTAACTATAAAAATTGAATTTCTCAAAAACAGAAGAATCGGGTTAATCTCGAATTTTAAAGTTTGAGGAATTTCAGATTTTTCTGTAAAAAAATATCTGATCGAAAAAAAACTAAACTAAGATTTGAAGTATTTTTGAAATGGTTATTAACCTTTCTCAGGGAAAAAGACTGTTTCAAGAAATGCAAGAATAATCATGATTGCTTCGTGAATTTAGCAGTTTGTTTCCCATGTTAACTGTTTGAACATTTAAATGTTCACAGATTATTTACTTCTTATGATCACTATAAAGCTTGTTATCATTGCGATTTACAGCTTGTTTCCATTCAATTTGATAAGTTCATTGATTGAATGAGGGACAATGACAAGTGATTATGAGGATGATTATGATGCTCTTTAAATGCGTCAAAATAAACATAAAACTGTAAATAAATTGTCACAATGTTGGCCTCTCATTGATAATGCCTCATTATACACTTACGTTTGGCCCATAAATAGATGGTCATCCAATGATAGATAGTAATGATGATGAGAGTGACCATGTTAATGATGATACTTGTAAGACTATAGGGCTTGAGCATGATGGACGATAAGAAGAAAAAGATTTACTCAAATGTTGACCAAACGTAAGATTAGCGTTTAATAGCGCAAAGAGTTGATTTCATTAAATGCAGATTGTTATTTGGTTGATTACATTTTTAGCTTCATTTTTATCATCCATTCAATTGTTTCGCATTTTATTGATAATAAAAACTAACAATGTCGAGTTTGCATTAAAGTGAATTATCATCAATTTTGAGATTAAATCAGGCCAACATTGAATGGCAAGTTGCATTTAAGCAGAAAGAGAATGAAAGTGGCGAATGAAAAAATCGAATGAAATTATCATTGATTAACAGTTAATCAATGATAATTGTCCAACATTTCACCCTTTTTTTCTTGCAGTTTTACGCTTTACTGGACTCGACTAGAACCGGAACTATTGACCTCACGTGACCAGCTAAGGCTATAAAAACTGTATTCTTATTATTGTTGCCATTATCATCAAAAGACCTTTTGCCAATAAACTAATGCTGGACATTGAACAGTGTCCACTCTATCAATGAATAAATGTCTATTTATGTCTGAATGGTAAAAGGTTGCAATGAATAGCCATTAACTCGAAGCGCACTTTTCAAGTTGCCCACTAAATCCCATAAGGAAAATTTGCTTTTCCTTTGCACCCATTTTATTGCCTTTTCACACTTGCAGTTTCGAGGCGACAAAAGCCATGAATAAACAAACTCAACAAAATGCTTTGTTAATTTTACGATTGACCAGATTCCAACAAGTTGACCTTTAATCCAACTCTGCCTTTCATCATTAATTGAAAAAAATAAGTGAAAATATTTGCATTTTCACACAATTTGTTTCAAATGACAAAATTCACCTTTTCCCATTCAAATCTTTGTAATTTTTGGAATAATTGTTCGAAAAATCTTTGCTCAGAACTTTACCTTTCATGGCTCTATTTGAAAAATCAGTGAAAGTAAAGTTTGCTTTTGTTTTTGATCAAAATAAGTTCAAAGTTCGATTCTTATCACAAACGTCAAAACACGAATCTTACATTTTCTTTTATTTGCCTTTTTTCAACAAGAATTTTCGAACACATTCGCTCAGGACTTTACCTTGCAACTTCAATCGAAAGAATGCGTGAAGTTTTGTTTTCGAATCGAATGTCAAAACTCTGATTTCAAATTCTCTTATGTTTGCATTTCTTTCCACAAAAATTTTTGAACAGAACTTTTCTTTGGCCAACTTTTCAACATCCTTATTTAACTCGTTTTTTGATTAAAATAGAAGTTCGATTTTCTGATATGTCCAAATGTGAATTGCATTTTCTTATAGTGGCATTTTTTCAAAGAATTTTTCGAAAATCTTAGAACCTGGACAATTTTGTCGAACTTTGCCTACATCTTTTTCTGTCTTTTCTGTAAACTTATCTTGGAAATTCATTTTTTCAAAACTTTTCTCTTTGCGATTGCATTGAAAAGGCTCATTTTGGGACTCGATTAGGGTGACTTTGAAAAGTTACAAGAATGAAAGTATAATAGGAAATTGATGAATAAGAAAAAATGATAAAGATGAGTTGGGATGAAGAAAAGAGGAAGCTGGAGAAATAAGGGTAAAATAGGTGATTTCTGAATGCTTTTCAGGAATGAAATGAGGAAAGAAGATGATGATTGTGAAGAAAAACATTTCTCTGTTTATTATTATCATGTTATTCAAGTCACGAAGTAAAACTACTGGAAGCTGAAGATTTGAAGCGTAGGTTTTGGTAACTGAGCAGAATAGGAATGAACCTCTTTTTTCCTTCATCTTCAACTCCATGGAAACCAATTTTCCTTTTTTTCTTCTTTTTCTTGTTTTCTTTATCATTCTCAATTCCTTACAGTTGAAAGATGAAAACCAAACACCTTAACTAACCAACATAAACAAATGACAACAATGATCCAAATGAACATCAAACTGTTTCCTTGTTGCAAAGATGAACCTTCATTCGAATCGATCTTTTTTTATACAACATTTTCTTTCAGTTGCATTGCGATTTTATCATAGAACTTGATAGAAAAGAAGTTCTTAGCAATTAACTGAGTTCATTCAAGTAATCATTGGTTGACTTGACTTTTGTTCATATTTCTTGAATTTTATCATGTTTGATATTTAAATTTTAATACTTTATTCTAACGAACTTTTTCTTTCTTTTTCACTTACAGAATTCTGGAAATGCGTAAGGAAAAGAGTCGAGATGCGGCCCGATCAAGGCGGGGTAAAGAAAATCACGAATTCTATGAATTGGCAAAATTACTTCCACTTCCGGCTGCCATCACTTCTCAATTAGGTATCATGAGTTAGTACCCAATGGTTTGTCAGGCGATTAGAAGGGAATTAAATCGGAAAAAGGAAACAAAGGTTTTACTTTAATATTGAAATGGACTTTTTATTATCGCTTCAAGGTTACATTATTCATTTTTACATCTTTAAAAGTCGAATCCCTTCGAATGGGACAAAATTTTCGATTTTCATGTTTAGAATGACCAAACAGTTTGTTGACAATCGATTGATCTAACGAGAATTGCTCTAAACTTTTGCTTAGCACTCGAATAGTTATCAAAGTTTACAGATATGTAAAGGAAAGAATTTTCGATTCGTTTCTCGGACCCTTTTTACTCTTGATGTCAATATTGATAGCAATCGAAAGCGGACTCTGTTCTATCTAAAATCTCATTAAGTAACTTTAAACAGCTTAAGTTCAATCAAGTTTATTCATTTGTCTCTTCACTTTCGGAACAACAAGAACCTGGTTACCTTTTGATTCACCTAACTTTCTGTTTCAAAGTGAATCAAAAAATCAAGGTCATTACGCTTCTTCAATTTGTTATCAGTCAAATCATCAGTTTAGTTTGAGCTTCTAAACCAAATTAAAGTTAAAACAGGCTCGTATCAAACTTTAATCTCAACCTTTGTGACACCCAGTTGTTTAAACTAGAATCTATTGTTACAATAGTAAACCCAATGATTTTCAAAACCAATCTCTTGATGAAAATGTTAAGAGTTGAACTTTGGCTTTTGAAAAATTTTAGTTTTTGAGCGATAATTTTTCCATCTTTTGGCCATCAAATGGTAAATTTAATAGAACCTTGAAAATTGACCTCAATTTTTCATGTCAACTTGGAATGGCTCATGAATATTATTTGATATCATTACTTGGATACATTATAATAAAGACTGCAATAAGTTGATTTAGATATGATTTGAGGCAAGTGAAAACAATAATTTCCGGAATTATCACAAGATTAATGTTGAGATAATCAGTTTGAGAGTAATATATTGACAATAGAGAGTTGCTATTAATAATAGTCTAAACTCGCCCCGAACAACTGAATGTTATTAACTATTGTGTGCCTATTCACACTGGTTAACCAAACACTTTGCCAACCCTTCCCAAGACATTTATTAATATTATCATAAATATAATATCCCATGATTTGTGGCCTTCAACACTTTGATCTTTCATGTTTTCAACTCTTTTTACCCTTTGCCTTTCATTCATTATTTACATTTAATCATGATATAGCAACATTGAATGAACCCGAAGTGTTGTTGACAGAAGAACATCAAATTTCCAAATTTTTTCTTTTTTCACGGAAAAAAATTATTCTCAACTTTTTCATGACAAAATCTGATAAGAAACTTGATTTTCTTCAACATTTCTGTCTGACCATAAACTCTCGATTTAACCCTTTCAACTGTATCTATTCACAAACTTCAAAGAATCTGATTTTACGGATAATTCGTGTCTTCATATAAACAGCTCTTTCTGGGTCAGACTAATGTTCATCTGTAAATCAGTTTTATCTCAACTGATCTGCTTCCAAATCTCATCTGATAAGCTTGATAATTTACCTGAAAATCAACGACAAATTAACTGTTTGACTAAACAATTAAAACGTCCATTAAGACTCTTGAGATTGCCTTTTTATTAATATTTGATTTGTTGTTGTTATGAGCAAGATGATGCATTTTAATTGACATTATCATTAACAAGCTTAGACAAAAGTTAAAAGCTCATTCATTAGTTTGAAATGGCTAAAGTCTTATTAATTAATTACAGACGATTAACTCATTGTTGGATAACCTGATTGTTAGGAGGAAACAGATGCTTCATTTGTCGACTTCCCTTGCCATTAACATTTCCTAATCCAGATGAACATTAACATTGAAACATGCCGAGATGTGTAATTAAATTTACACAAAGTCACTTTAAAATCATTCAATTATCACCGAACCTCATTAACTCAGTTTTGACGGTCAATTGATAAGCTTAATAACAAAATAGTAACTTCACTAATAATGAAAATCTCAACTTTCAATTTTCGCTCCAAAATTTAGTCAACTTTTTGTTCAAATTATCGACAGAATTTAATTTTCCTTTTGTTAAAGTTGCAATGAATTATTGAGTTTCTATGTTTTTCTGAGTAACAGTTGTAACAGAGAAATGATTTCAATCTTGCAAATTGATAAACATTTCATGTTGAACATTAATATTTGATTATGTGATAAGCATAATTGTTTATCCTCATTTGTTGAACTGAATAATAAAAGATGGTTTAACATGAGCGCAACAATGTTTACTCAGCACACAATGTCTTCATTTGAAATAAAGTCATAAAGTGCCATTAATCCCACTTACTTGTTATTGCACCTTTTCATGTTTTTTTAGTCATTTTTTTATTCCTTGCCTTCTCGCTATTGCTTCACGTTTCACTTGCAAAGCTTTGATTTGTTATGCTAGTTTTTTGTGCCATTAGACTCTTCACTCACCCATCAACATCTTGATGGTCGTGTGTCTATTCACAGTGATGAACGGTTGTTGGTAACAGTAAAGGAAGCAACAACAACTGGTTTACATAATTGTTTATCATGAAACATTAAAAAGCCAACAAGTGCCAATAAAGCAAACAACCAAAAATGCGAACAAAAAAATTAACTTTTTTTTCTGTTCCATCTTCATATATAACAATACCAATTCAACAGGGAAATGGTCAAGTTGATGAGTTGCTCATGTGGTTTTGTTTCATAAATTGTTAAACTTTAATCCAATCTAAAATGTTCACAAATGGCAAGAACAAAAAACCAGGTAATTTGCTTTTCTCTATAAGAAAAACATTTGTTGTTCTTTCCCTCAGAATTAAAGTTCCTATAAAAATGCATCTTTTCCCTGTTGTTCAGCTTCCATTGTCCTATCTGAGCCAAAATACCTCTATAATTGAAAATACTTTTTCCTCTCATTTCATGAAACCATCAGCTAATTAACCTTTTTTGTTTCAATCAATAATGAGAACGGAAATGTTTACAACAAAAACATGTCAACGGAAGACTTGAAATAAGAACTTTTCTCTTCTCAAATTGGGTTAAATTTAACTACTAAAAGCTTCATGAATAGCTTCGATTATCATGACAATGGAATTTACAACTTACAAAATTTTTGTCCATTTCATGACAATTAAAATGATAACATCCTTTTGCTCCTTCATCAATTAACTATGTTAATATGAAAAAAAATTTCCTTTTTTCTATTCTTTAGTTATTCTTGTAATCTCATTTGTTCATCATGTTTATCACCATGAAAACAATGACAGTTAATCCAATTTGATGAAGAATAATAAAAAAGAGCCAAAAATTTGGAATTAATTTAATCTTTTTCTTTGTCCATTCAAGTAGCACCATCAGGGAATGATAATGGGTTATCAAGTTTAAATATTCAAATTTGCGATTTTCTGTGTTTTCATGGAAGTTGATTGTTCAATTGATTTGGAGACAGAAAAGAGAGAAAACAAAATGATTCACAAAAAATTGTTGAATCACGTTTGCCTTTTCATCCTCTTCATTGCTAATACTTGATCCTCATCCTCATCATCCTTCTCATCATATTCATTATACGTGATAGGGCCGTTTCCGTAAGACATCACGTAGCTGTCTCTGTCTCTATCGTTCTTCACTTTCTTTCCTTTCAGTTTTCTCTTCTTTCTTTTTTTGTCTCTTTTCTAGTAAAAATGCGCCAAACGTGCTCTACTAACCCTGAATCGTGCTTAAACTTCAGCCCACATTTCAAGGTTACACTGATATTCACAATAGTTACTTCCCATTCAATGACCTTGTTTTATAACCCAATCAAACAAACTGTTTCCTCACAAAACACTATTTTTAGCACTTGACTATTCTGGGCTCATTTCAATATCTTTTCATTGCACCCATTTTAGTGCAAAAATTTTCATCAAATTTTACTTCCATTCAAAACTCATGAAAACTAAAGACACTGTTGATGAAAATTGGGTTGACATTTTAATTTTTACGTTCAATATTTGATATTTTGATTCATTGTTTGATTTTGAACACTAACTGATCGATGACTGAAGCATCGTTTATTTGAAAGCTTTGAAAATTTACTCAATCCTCACTGAATTTCGACTTAAACTTGCGTCCATTTCAATTTGAGTAACCATTTGTTTCCTTTTCTTGCATTGATAAACAATTCTTTTTTTCATTCCTTCCCATGAAACTACTTTACTTTTAAACACCAAACGGACAATTAGATACGATAAACAATGGAAAGGAATGAAAAGAAAAAAAATTTTCTGGAAAAAAAGTTATTTAAAAATGCTGATTTAAGAAACTTGCTTCGGTTCCCTTAACTAGTCAATGCAATCAACTTTAATCATTAATAAACCTTTTCTCTTCCCAGATAAAGCATCAATAATTAGGTTAACAATTAGTTACCTAAAATTGAAAGATTTTTCAAACAATGGCGACCCAAATTGGTCAAAATTGGCACCCAATCCCAACAATCCACTTAAAAATAATAAAATGTGTAAGTATTTAACCAGAAAGAAAAAAGTCAAAGAAAAAGTGAAAACCATTGAAATGCCAGAAAAACGAGTGAAAAGGTGAATGAAAGCCACAAGATGATGTTGACTAGTCAATAAAAAAAGGTTGATGACAATATGAATGTGAATCGGAAAAGAGTGTAAAAGAAGGCGAAAAATACAATGAAAAGTATGATGTATGTGAGTAAATATTTTCTTGTGTATTAAGATTATTATTGTGATTTCTTTTTCTCCATCTTCCTCATCATCACAGCCAATGATGATACCAATATATATGTTAGTGAGACTATTAAAGCTGCAGGGATTTAAGCGACTTCCAACATTGGAAGAAGAAGAAAAAAACTGATTAAGATTGATATACGAGAAGGATCTATTATGTTGACAATTCACAAATAATAAAGTTATTAACGGATGACGACCTAAATATTGGTTAGTAGAGATGATGAGGTGGGAAGAGGCGAAATGAAATTACAAGTCTTTTTATTTGATGTTTCCCTTCATCACCTCATCTTCATCATTCTCAGTGGTAAATCTTAATTTTTCATCATTTTTCTTCTTCTTCTCCTTCTCAGTTCGCAACATTGTTCACCAATATTGCATTATTGTTTGTACAATTGAGTTTGCCTTTTGATTAATACAATATTGAAATTCATACAGATTTGCAAAACCATCGATATTTGCAGTTTTATTTTTGCCCTTCATTTTTCACTCCCAGTCGAGCTTTCAGTTTTTCAGCTTAAATTTCATCTTAATGACAATCTTTTATGATTACTTTTCAGTTTCAACTTTCTTTGACTGTTTTTTGTTTGAAGAAGCCCAGAGAAGAGGTAAAAATGTTTGATGATTGATTCCATTGCAATTGAATATTCTGATCATGAACTTCATCATCTTCCTGTTTTCTTCTTGAAAGTTACCTTCTCTAATTGTGGACTCTTCAGATGAACAAGTTCAATGTTGACTGTTGAAATGAGCAAAAATATAGGATCAAAATTCTTGATCAGAAAAGAAGGAAAAAGAAGGCGAAAAGAAAAAAAATTTGTCTCTCAACTTGTTCTCTTTCATTTACCAGAAAAGTTGCAATTAAATTTACGTGATGATATTAACCACAAATCATTGTAAAACCTTTTCTTGCATTGATTAGGATTGATTGTCAGGAAGACAAAAGTACAATGAAAACAGTTTCCTTGAAGCAACCTGCAAAAGGTATGAAGAAAAAAGGTAAAAACAAAAAAAATGGAGAAAAGCCGTTGACAAAAAGCTCGCCTGTCATTGAATGAAATGAATGGGAAAATAATTAGATAGTTTTGTTTACCTGTTAAATGCGATTGGTTTAAATTGAGTTGATCCTTAATCATTTACAGTATAATGAGGTTGGTTAATGAATGTGACTTTTGTTGGTAAAGGCCAAAGAGACCATCTTTTTTTGGGTTACAACTGAAACACAAAAGGCTCTTTTGGAAGCTTCAATTTTCACTTCAATTTTCACTTTAATTTTCGCTCCTCTCTGAGTGTGACTTTACATGATTTGGTGTTTTACACAAGAATTGAAATGTAAATTAATAAATAGGTTAATTTGGTGTTAACAAGAGAAGTACAATTTAATAGGTAACGGAAAACACGTTTAGACACTTTTTTTTGTCTCTTCTCTGCCTTTTCTCTTCGTTTCTTACCTTTTACTAGGTTTTTGCTAGCTTTTCATAGTTTACTTTTACTTTTCAATCTAATTGAGACATCAAACTGTCAACTGCAATACATCATAATAATGATGATTATGATGATAATGAGGGTGATGATGATAGAGACACACTCGTAGACTATTAGCTTGTCGTGGGAATTGATTGTGTATATTTTGTTGTATATTGTTGGCTTTGTGATAAAAAAATAGTCGGCAAAACAAAAGGTAAAAAAGGTTATGCTAAATGTGATGAGCATTTCTTTGGTTCACACTTTTTTTTCGTTGTTGCTCAATTGTTATGTTTCTTTTCACCTCATTTTACACCTTGTTTTACAGATAATATGTTTGATGTTCACCAAGGAACTCATATACTCCAGTCATTGGATGGATTTGCGTTTGCATTAGGTCAAGATGGAAGATTTTTGTACATTTCAGAGACTGTTTCAATCTATCTTGGTCTTAGTCAGGTGAATAGCTAGTTAAATTGATTCGAATGTCCGTTTAAATTTGCCAAGTAAATTTTGATTGAAAATGTTCAACATGAAGGTCAAAAGAAAAGTTCAAATCAGAAATCAAGAGAAGCGATTGAGATAAATATAATAGTTAAAAATAGCAGATTTGTGCAATTGTTTTCAGTTTCGTAAAAAAATAATTTTTCTCCCAAAAAAACGAAAGACAACTCTTCGAAAATAAAATCTGGTTAAAGTTGAAATTTTAGTCTTAAAATGATCAATTTCTCGTGTTTAGTTGAAAATTTGATTCTCACCTAAACGTTTGGAGTAAAATTTCATAGACAAAATACATTTATAGCAGCTAAAGCAAAAATCTGAGCTTGAAAAAAGTCGTTCGAAAATCAAATGATTCCTTTCCGAATGACCAAATAACCAATTCGAAAGATCACTTGAAGATTCTTGTAGGTTGATGTTAAGGTTAAAATCGCATTCTGTGTTATTTGGTGAATTCACCTTATAGCAAATTTTTTGTTGATTTAATGTTGAGTTTGATTCTGATAAATATTGCATTTTAAAACGGACATTTCTCGAAAATGGATTTCGATTGAAAGAGATTAAATTGATTTCTTTTCTTTTTCCGTTGCAAAAGGTTGAAATGACTGGGTCAAGTGTGTTTGATTACACTCACCAACAAGATCACGCTGAATTGGCTGAACAACTGGGCATTACTCATACCAATTCATTGTCTTCTTCTTCCTCTCAACTGAGCTCTTCTCCTTTACCACCGGCCTCAGTTGGTTCAAATGCATCCTCCGAGTCAGACAGTCCATCTTATGGTAATTCAAACAATTTGATGACCACTTCAGATCCAGATCATTTAGAGAGGCGATTTTGCATCCGAATGAAATCAACTTTAACCAAACGAGGTTGTCAACATTTTAAATCAAGTGGCTATCGAGTAGTCCATGTAATATCACACCTAAGGCCCGATGCTAATTCAAGAAGTAAGTAACAATCAAAGGCAATCAACACCTTTACTTAATCAACCTTTTAACCTTTTCTTTTGTTTCCATCATTAGGAGAAACTCAAAATGGTCCAGTTAAACTTGTAGGCCTTGTTGGTATTGCAATTGCTCTTCCGCCACCTTCTGTTAATGAATTACGATTAGAACCCGATATGTTTGTCATGAGATTAGGACTTGATTTTAAGATACTTCATTGTGAACCAAGGTAAGCATTGTTTAAATTGATTGTAACCCTAAATGGCTTCAATTGAGATATTAACAGTTTTTAATGGTGATTGATGGATGAAAGATTCAGTGAATGGTAAAGGCTTTAACATTTTTTTACGGAATTTTTTGTTCTTTTCGTTTTGTCCTGCAAAATGTTTTAATGAAAAATGAACATCAATATGGTTACTATGGGAATAACCAGAATAATAAAGGAATGATGATGAGGAAGATGAGCCAATTGAAGCATAAGTGTGTCTAATGAATGTTGGAAAGAGAGAGACCAAGAGAGGAATTAATGTATTCACATGGAGAAGATAATTAATTTGACTTGATGGACAATTAATCGAACCATTAGCCTTATAAAAACATGATAATTTTCATATGAAAAGTAAAACTGGAAACATATTATTCACAAATCGTAATGTATTATATAAATATCATCATTTTTAACGCTACCCAAAGGAATTGAGAGGAAGAGAGAAGACAGATGATGATCGTCATCATTATCATCTTTATCGTCAAAGGTTTCAAAACAAATGCATTGAAACTAGTGGAGGATCCTTTTTTTTCAACTGTTTTGTTGTTACTGGTTTTTAGTTAGTTTAGAGATTCTAATTACTCGGTTCAGCAATTAAAGCCCTAAAAAACAATTTGGTTTAAACAATGGTAATAGAGTCAAAGTTTACCTTCTATTATATCATTATGATGATTATTTTTTTATTTACTTGGGCCTACAATCAAATTTTTCAAGCTACATAACATAAAATTGTCAGTAAAATTCATAACCATGACCTCGAAGGACCTTTATTTGAGGTCAACTCAACCGATTAAATAAACCACCCTTTATTATTTGTAATTGTTATCTTTATCACTATCAGGAAGGTTAGCCTTTCACTATCGCCGTTGTTGGTGGATAAAAACAATGAATCCTTTTTGTGTTTGTTTGTTTGTCTGCCTGTCATGATTGTGTCGTTTGCTTTCGTTGTGTTATTTAAATGATCTTGTTGTTTTTTGACCATTATATTTTATCTCCTCGCCTCGTTTGATTATCCTTTAATCTGCCTTTCTAATATAAACATCATTAAACTGTCTTTAAAAACCAGAATATCAGATCTTTTGGATTATAATGCGGATGAATTAACGGGACGTAATATGTACTCGCTGGTTCATGGACAGGATGTTATTCAACTTAGAAAATGTCACCTTGATTGTAAGTTTATTTTCATGTCTTCTTGTCCTCTTCTCCGTCATCTTGAACACTAATCAACGATTAACCTGGTCCACTTTTAACCTTTATAATGGCCATAACAAGGGAAGTCATCTTGTCATACCTAAATGAACATTAAACTTGTTAGATATATTCTTGAAAAATTAAAAAAACTTACCTGTCTTCTTGGTCTACAATGAGTTGGCATCTTAATTATGATTAACTTGTTGTCTTGAAGAATATTTTTAATGACAATAATGAAATTTAAGTGATTCAAGTTGATTACCTTTTGTTGAAATAAAAATACATTTGTATTATGATGCAACTACTAACGCCATCTTTTGTTTATAAATATAGTGATACACAAGGGACAGGTTATGTCTAAATATTATAAAATAATGAATAAAAATGGAGGATTCACTTGGATTCAAACTTGTGCAACATTAATTTGTAGTAATAACGGAACTCCGAATGGTAAAGGTGCTACTAATGGTGGGTCGACTAATGGATCGGAGGATCAAGAACAAAGCATTATAAGTGTAAATTATGTTATAAGGTTCGTATTGACTCTTTACATTTTTGCTTAAAATAATTGTCATTTAATGAGCGTTTAACTCGCGCCATTGAATTAGCGGGATTTTCAATTCATTGCTTGCTTCATTTAGTTAATAAGCCAGTTTTGTGCGAAAAAATTAGCTCAAGTAATGAAATTAACAATCAAGTAAATTTTAATTTAGCTTTTTCTTGACACAGTACAAAAATATAATAATTAGCGCTTCATTCTTCTTTGCAATGACTTCTTCGCCTTATATTTTTAATACTCTTGAATCGCTGATTGATAATTATTTTTATTTTTTATTTCTTTATCCACAGTGGTTTAGAATATGATCATGTGATAATGGATTTAAGTCAACTTGGTGGGATAGGTTTGATAAATTCTGTATCATCATCACCAATTACAATAAAAACAAGTCCATCTTCTAAGCGGATAACTCCATCGCCTCCTTCACCTCTAATTGTTGGTCCACCGCCGCAGTCTGTTCCTCCATCTTCATCGTCATCTGTTTCTTCTTCATCTCCATCATCCAACAATCAAACAAATCAATTAACTTTAAACGGTAATAATGGTATAATTGGTTCCGGAGTGCGTCGTCCAATGCCCGGTGATTCTTGCTCTTCTCAGCAACAGCATGGACTTTCAAATGGAAACTCACCAGGTCATCATGCTGGTGTACCAACATCTTCAGCTACAGCGCCTTCAAATTCCATCAACGGTAATCAATCATCAATTGATTCATCGAAACGTCGCCGGTATACATCTAGTCCTGTTCGTCCCTGGAAATCACCTTCACCACCTTCAAGTGAATCTCCGGTTTCAAGTATAGGAGGATCAAATGGGTTAACCAGCGGAGGACACGGTGTTTTAAGTCCAGGTAGTCCAGGACCCTGTGGAAGCCCATCGTCAAATTTACTTCGCCATATCAGTGTGATTCGGGAAACTCCAGCCATCCTAAAGCCTCAAGTGGTTGCACCAGCAGCAGCTTATCACCATCCTCATCATCCTCATCATACTCACCCTCATCCCCATCATACCCATCATCATCAACAAACCCACCCCCATGGTCATCCTCATACACATCCATATCATCAATCACCTCCTCCTCCTCCACCGCCACCACCGCCCCCGCCACCTCATCCTTCTCATCATTACCATCATTTGGTTGATCCTTATGCTGCCGCATATCACATATACAAGACTGGGGGTAATCCTGGACCTGGAGTACCAACAGCAGCAACTGCAACACCAACTCCAGTCACCAATAATCATCATCATCATTGGGGTGCTTATAATTAGAATAAGCAGAAACCCAAAATTGATGATACCCATGGAACAAAATTGCGATTGCAAGACATCTCATTTTGATTAAATTTTACCTTTGTCAAATCAAATGTCACCCGATTCAAAACACTAGCCGCAAACTTAAGCACCAAGCTAATTACAACAGTAGTACGAATAAGGACGAAGAAATCGATCATACCTATTGGATTTTATGATACCAGCAACATTCGAGTGAAATATGTTCGTTCAACAAGTCATCACAAGCTATCGATTTAATCAAGGATTAAACTACTGATACATTTCATTAAGAAAAACGATAGCCACTAACCAGCTGTTAGCTAACAAGAAATGATCTTTTTCATTGTGCAGTGTTATCAATTGAATAATTCAAGCAATCAAGCAATGCAGTTTATTTAAATCATAAAGCAATCATTTCACATACTTTGACTATATCATATGATAATTATATGATATTTTACTTCATTCAACTTTATGATTTTTGTTATACCAAGAAACGTAAGGATATCAACCAAGCGAAAAGTGTTATAATATAAATTTATTATTAATTACTGTGAAATGAAACTCAATTACCCACAATTTAAAGCCACCAAAAAACAACAAGATCTGCAATCAAACATCATCACTTTTAAAAAATTACGAACACTCCACCTTCAATGTTCTCTTTTTTTTCGTCATTTTCAAGAAAGCAAAATTTTAAATGGAAATAATGCAATTTTAGGTTCAAATTTTATGCAAAAGTAACATTTGCACATTCGAACAAAAAATCAATTCAAATTAAATAAAACAAACTGATATCAAAATAAAGAGAAGATATCATTTAATATATAAATCGTCTTCGTTGATTCATTTAAGAAACTCAAATTTTTAAATGTATCTAAATATTCCAGCTCATTGTGATAATGCGATCACCATTCAAATTATGAAAAGGTCAACTCTATTGTATGATACATGTATGACTATCAAACCTATTTATAGCATATTAATGTCAACATCTAGCAGAATCAAAATTTCTGGATTTTCCAGGTTTAATTTGATTTTCCTGTCAGGAAAAGTTTATCATCTATCCTTCATGTCAGTCAAGATGAATAAGATGTCCATTAGATGAGTGTCGGCACAAATTTAGGAAATAACGATAACAATAGCAATAATAATATCCAGTTAATGTTGATGTTAAAATAGCTTTGAACCATTAAAGAAAAGGTAAGAAAGAGCATTTCTATTATTGTAGATTAAAAAAGTAGATTTAAAGATTCAGACTCTTACATTTAATCAAGGCTACCAACTTATTGATTGACCAACAATTGAATGGCTAACAATTGAATGGTAAACAAATATCTATGGAAGGTTATTGTTGGCTAAAATTGGACTGGAAGTTGATGTTATCCGAGAGAAGTGTCGCACAAATTATTACCATTTACTGAATGATAAATTGAATTGTTTATTTTTCGTTTCTTTTTATTCACATCAAGTTGATTGTTTAACATAATCATCTTCACATTTACAGGTTTCATATGATATTTCCTGGTGATACGTTTGTTTTTGAAAAATAGTGTTAACGATAGATTTTCAAAAATGATTTTGTCTGAAAATAATAATTAGTCCTTGAAAATAGGCAAATAATTGGCATAAATTAAGATAGAATGATTTTTTTTTTCGTAATTTGTTCAATTCTCTGGTAAATTGGTGAATCAGATTGATTGTAAGTGACTTGACATGTACGGTTGAACAGCAATGAAAACATGATCAAGTTGAAAAGTAACACTTAAAATAAACCAACTTTGATCAATCACCAACCGGTTCTTACAGATTTAAATCATTCTTCATCACAATTATTCTTCCTTCTCTCTCACCTTTCTATTTTCATTCTCACCATCATCATCAACTTAACTTAACTCTCAAAAGCCAATTCTTCATTTTTATTGTCCTTTCCGTTTCCAAACAAACCACATCTTTCCATTTTTCAGGACTCACCATCCTGTTGTCTATTTACTGTTCAACTTAATCGTCTATCCAACTTATATAACCAACAGTTGTTAAGAGTTTTTACTCTTTTTTTTGTAACCAAAAGGCGATTTCAGTCAATGTGAATAGGTTTGGTTGATTGTCGATTCAAGTAAAAAATCGTCTGACCAAAGTACAAGCTCAAATCATGAATGATTTGAAAGATTCTCTTCGTGTAATCCTTTTATGTTTATATCATTGGGTGGAAGCAATTGTCTTCTTCTTTGTTCCTGGTGAATGGAGGTACAAATCGCTTGAAAAAGAAGTTGTTCTCATTACCGGCGCTGCAAGTGGGATCGGTCGAATAGTTGCTCTCAAGTTGGCCAAACAAGTAAAGTGTCTGGTTCTTTGGGATATTAATGGTGTCACTCTAGAGGAGACTGCAGCCACTATCCGTCAATTGGGTTGCCAATGTGTAGCTTACACTGGGGATATTTCAGATCGTAAATGGGTTAAATCCATGCCGGATAGAATTAAAAAAGACCTGGGAACTCCAGTGACCATGGTAATCAACAATGCTGGTGTTGTTTCGGGAAAAGATTTCCTAGAGTTGACTGATGAAGAAATCCTTCGTTCCTTTGATGTTAACGTTTTATCCAACTTTTGGATCAACAAAGCTTTTCTACCAGATATGATCTCTGTCAATCATGGACACATTGTGACTATGGCAACTGTTGCCTCTTTCTTTGGGGTTCCTAAATTAACCGATTACTCAGCTACCAAAGCTGCTGTCTACATGTTACATGAAACACTGGCTTGTGAACTGATGCGAGCTGGTTTAACTGGAATTAAATGTACTGCTATCTGTCCTTTCCTAGTCAACACCGGAATGTTTGATGGAGCCTCGTCAAAACTCATTTCCACCTTGGAGCCAGAATATATAGCCGAGAAAGTGATTCATGCCATTCGAACTGAACAATTCATTTTAGTTTTACCAAGAATTGTTTACTATTTGATGGTCCTTCGAAGTTTCATTCCTTCAATGAGTGGTTACTATCTTTACAGAGCAGCAGGATTCCTTGAGCTGATGACCAAATTTACTGGAAGATCTCAGGAACAGAAAAATGGTAACAAACCCATCAAATCACATTAATCAAGTGCAATAATCTCAATTAACTTTAAATCAACGACTGGACTGAAGGTACTAAAATGAGATGATCAACTTACAATTATTAACAAAGTGAGAAATATAAGTGACTTTTGAATAGACCTTGTAATTAACATTTCCAATTATCTGTATATCTTCATATACAGCTAAATCATAGCTAACTTCAAATTATTAATTGAAAACTTCTTTTTCGATTTCTTGAAATAAATTTTCAATCTTTTTTTTTGTTAACAATAATTGCTTCAATTGGAAATATGTTTTATAAAATATGTCTTTGAAAAGATCAGAATTTCAAGAATATCTAAAATTAAAAGTTGAACAAATAACAATTGAGTGTGACTAACATGAGAAATCTTTGGTATAACAAGTGAAATACAAAATTTTGTGATAATAGCAAATTTAAATTGCTCAGTAAACTATCACAATTGAAACAACTTGACATCGATGTCTGACTATTGAAAAGTTGTAAAGTTGTTGAGAGTGTTTAGTTGATTAATATTGTGTCCATTGATGTAACGAGTTATAAATTATTTTAAATGATTTAGAAATAGCTTTGAGGGTTCCATTTCATTGAGATCATCTGGGCAGAAACAGTTGAAATAGTCTTGTAAGGCTACTTTTACCAATTACAGGAATTGGCTTGTGGAAGATGTTAAAATTGCTTGGTTCCGTTTGTAAATGAGAAGCATGAATCAAATTTATGCCAAAACGATGAATTGGAATACATTTTCTCATCAGTACAGTTAGCTGGTCCAAATTTGTGTAGTAATGCATAATCCTGACAGGTAATGATTCCATCAGCATCACAATCTTTTTGCTTGATTTTTAAGTATTGATTGACGGTTTGAATGGCACAGTAAATATTGTTTACACAATTCTCAAAATCTATAGTAAAAAAAGAGACGCGAAATCAGTAGGATCCGTAAAATCAATTAAATTAAACTATCTTACCCATCGGGTTACTGGCATCATAACCAGGAGAACCAGCTTCAAACCAGTAATTTCGTGATACTTGAAAAGGACCACAAAAATAATCATCTTGACCCTCGGTATGACAGCGAACTTGATCATCGCACTCCGAGCTTGCCTTTTATTACGATAAGATGTAAAATAAATATCAATGAACAACAAAAGAATCAATCAAAAGGTAGGAAATATTGAAAATCGGTTGAAGTACGTGCAAATAATTATTAGATGTGATTACATCTATGATCAGGGAAATGATAAAAAGGATAATGTTTACTTACCGAGCAGATACATTTGAGACAATCATCATCAAGAGCATGAGGATCACCGATGGAAACATGGAACCAAAAAATCATGGCAATTATAGCATGAATAAAAAAGGTTGACTGCTGCTTAATCATGGTACTTCTTAACTGGGATAGGTTGAAACAACTTGGAAACATTTTGGGACGTGTTTTTGTTCAACTGAATAGATATTTGAATCTAGATGAAGAGATGGTCTGTTGATGTGTATCAGATCAGATTAACTGAAAGTAAATTTTGATTGTTATTTTAAATGGTAAAACGAGCTTAAAGCTAAATGATAAGACTTACCATCAAACCATAAGATTTTAAAGCCTTTTTGGTTGGTGTCTTTTGTCATCATCTCATTCTCTCTTTCAATATATACATGAATCCAATTCTACTTTTTTTGTCTTGTTGATCACATTTTTTGTTAACATTTCAATCAACCCGATACTAAATCAGTACCAATTCTAAATGGGAAGTTAATCGAACTAAGTTACGGACATTTAGTCATTAAGAAGGCACAAACAAGCTTACACAATGGAAAGAGAAGAGAAGTCTTTAAAAGAGAAGTCATTTTGACTGTCAATTTGTTGAATAAATTTTGATATAACAATTAATTTCATGAAAAAAAGCAGGATAAAAGGTTGAAATTTAAAGAAAACAAGTTAAATTAATTGAACTTAAGATGTAACTGAAATCAAAAGCTGATAAGCAAAACAAGCTTACAAGCTTTCGTTAGTAACGGCTAAATTTAGTCTAATAGCAACAACAAAAGAAAGAGATTACTCAAAGGGCAAAGTGGTAAACGACTTTTTAGTAAGCATACAAAAAACAAAGGATAAGCAAAGTAAGGCTTATTTTTCTGGTTTATTTACTCGTAATTTGATTATATTGAAATTTGAATTCTCTGTTCTGGTCTTGTTTCATCTCTGTTTGTGAATAATTGATTCTTAATCGTTTATTTAATTACTTTCGTTCCATAATAAACCAATGTCCAGAAATATTTGGTAATGTACCTTCAACATCCAGGATTTGTTTTTCTGGTAACCAAGTCTAGGTATGTTTCTTTTTTTTCTCATATTTCTTTGTTCTTCAAATTGTTACTATTCAATGTTTGAATGAGTTTCCGCAATTTGAATAGCCTTTAAGATTCAGAAACATTTTGACGGTAAACACTGAAAGGATTGGCATAATCAGTAAAACAAATTGTTTTTTTTTCTCAACACCATTTGCATGTTTATGTTTGATCATTCTGTTCCTACATTTTTGTTGCCTTGAGTTTTTATTTAAAGAATAGAAATTCAATAACAATTGATTGGTCCGATAAAAACATCATTTTCGAGTATTATATTCGTTCTTACTTTGTCTTTTCCATCTTGTGTTTTTTTATCAACGAAATGATTCATCAGATTGAATGTAACTAGTCTGATAATCTTTTACTCTATTCCAATCAGCCATTCAATAGAGTAAGCATGTTCAAAGTTATCTAAAAACAGGTAGAAAGTAAAGATAAGGCTAATGATGATTGATTCAATTAAATAATGGAAAGCGGAACGGATTGTTACCTCAAGTTGATCTAATAATAAAGGTGGATTCTTTTGTTGAGTCCACTTTTCTGCTCCTTCACCATTCTCGTTTGACTTCCTTTTTTCCTTCTGTAGCGAAAGAGTAAAAAAATGCCTTCATCTTATTTTTGGTCTTCATTTATTCAGGTTTATTCAGCTTAACAGCCACAGCTTTCAAATAAAGATTCATGAATAAATCTTTGAATTCTTCCTTTTTCCTCTGCTGTGCCTAAATTCAAGGGACTTGCAAGCTCACATCGTCGTCGAGAGAATGTAAAATTTACATTTCAAAACACGTACTGCATTGACTTTGACCTAAATTGTGTTTCAGTCCGTTCTGATCGGAATAAATTGTTACTTTCCATTATCGCTTCCTCAATGGTAAATTGTCAAAAACATAGAGTTATAAGTTAGAATTGACAATTAGAGATTATTTTTATACAATGCCTATTGATACTCGAGCATCTCTCTTGTTTTTAAAAAGAAATTCCAAATTGAATAGAATAAAAGTGAAAATAAGGTTAATTTGATAGTTGACTATTAAAACTTTAATGTATTTTGAAAGCGAAAACTAAACATGAGATAAAACAAAAGGTCTTCATCCAAATTTTATCCAACGTGATTTTTGTTAGCTGATCAACAATTAATTAGTCCTTAGAAGTAAGTCAAGATCAATTAATAAACTTGGAAATGGGTTTATAATTTGTTGTTAATTTTTGTTGATGGATCAGTTAGATTCAAGTTACCAGACGATACTCAAAATTCTGGCGAAGAAATAATTTTTGGTTGCTAAAACTGTTTACATTTTATCTTTACACAATCATCGGTCATCAGTTTACTCTCTTTGTTTCAAACCTTTGAGTCATGTTAGTTTTCTTAAAACCATTGTTGATCCTTTTGATTGCCATAACTGATTACCAATGTTCAGCATCATTTTGGCCACCAATTTTCTATTCTTTTAACAGAGATACTTCAACTTCTTCACCTAAAGCCACAGGTATCAAATCAATTCTTGATCCATCAACTTGGAAAAAAACATCGACTGCAACTGTTAACCCACCATATGCCCCTCTTCCACCTCCACCACCAGCTAATTCCCCATCGACTCCAATAAACGTTTCAACACCAACGATAGCTGTGTCTCTACCATCTGTTTACTCGTCTAACCCTCCACCACCTCAGACATCGATCACTTATCTATCCAGCCCAGGTAAGCACTAAGAAATGGTGATGTCTGAAAATATTTTAACGTTAACTAATTTACTAACAGGAACTTACCCTTCTTCACATGATTGGCGTCTTTCTAATCAGTATCCATCTCGGAGTCCACCAGCAGAAACGATTAATAATCAACCAATTGAGTAAGTTGACAAAAAAACAAAATATTACTCGTAAAGAGCTGTAACATCGCTAACAAAATCCTAACTAATTGATATTTCAGTTTGGCTATTGCTTGTAGATTTGCATCGATTTATAGACCCAGCTCTACAGGATTATATTCATCTCCAACATCGCCATTACCTTCTCATTTGTCATTACACCCTCCATCGACATATTCCCATTATCCTACTTCTCATTTATCATCCCCAACAATTCCTAGTTCTAGTTCACCATCATCGACAGGATCTCCACATTCCTATGTTGGATACCGCTATTTTGGGTATCCATGTGTTATACCATCAACAATATTACCAGAACATTTGCCTAATCTATTACCTTATCAACAAGTGCCATTAGCATCAGATGCGACACCAGTATGGTCTCTGCCTCCTCTAATCTCACCTCTGACACCTTTATCACTTTTTCCGGTGGTTAACAAAATGGATGATGACTCGCCCCAAAAGAGTTGGACACATGAATCATCCGATTCTGAAAACTCGCCATCAGATCATCCGTCGCAATCGAGTCACCACTCTTCTCACATGCATAGATCTGCTCGAGCAGTGGCCGAGTTATCTGGTCCTTCTGGAGTAACTGGAACCGTTGTTTTCACTCAAATTGTAAGCCATTGTGTGAAATGATTTGTGAATATTTTAATTATTTCAAAAAATTTGATTTAGGGCCATCATCCAGTTTCGATGGAAGGTAAAGTAATGGGACTGGCTCCTGGTCCTCATGGTTTGCACATTTACGAGTTGCCATTTATTGCTGGGGATTGTACAACTGCTGGTGATCATTATAATCCCAAGAAAACTGAACACGGAGGAAAAAATGATTGGAATCGTCACATTGGAGATTTGGGAAACATTTATGTTTATTCCGATGGAGTTGCTTTTTTTGAAGAAATGGATTTACAAATCAGTTTACACGGAGGCCATTCAATTGTTAATCGCACTCTAGGTGTAAGTTTGTCCAAAGTTATTACCTTGATTTGACTAATAATGCTATTACTTCGCATAAATTTCAGATTTCCGAAAAGGCTGACGATCTTGGTCGCGGAAATGATTTTCAAAGCAAGAAAGATGGCAATGCAGGAACTCCTATTGCGTGTGGAATCATCCACTTGCGTCCAATTTAAAAATTAGACCAATAAGAATTGAAATTAAATTTTGATTCATATACTAAATTACATTATCAAGTCTCTAATTTTGTAAGAAGAGTTTAAACAAATCATCATCATGTATTTAGCATAAACATTTCACAGCCTGAGGAATTAAGTTATCGCTGAAAAAATTCTGTGTCTATTTTACCCGTTTAGATTAGTTTAACATTCCATAATGAAAAGTGAAGTAAGCTTAGATAACTTGATTTTTTCAGATTGAACAAACAATTAAGGTTTTCGGACATGGCCGACTCTGAATACCTTGTAAACAAAAATACAAAAATTGTAAAACATTTCGTTTTTATTTCTTTTAATGTTTGATATTGCAGTGAGAATTCAATTTAAAGTAAATTATTAAGCTGAGGCTTTTGGTCGGACATGAACTGATTCAATTTTACTTTAAATATGTTAGTAAGCTTAACCAGATTATAATCAGCTTACAATTGTTAGTCTAAACTTCGAGAAATTCACATTAAAATACACGATGTATGATCGAAAGTAGCTTACTCTTTAGCGCCCTCTATACACACGAAGATGCACGAACTGCTCAAACGCAAATTTAAAAATTTGCAGCCGTTGGATAAAATATGTTTATTGATGTTTTCATTGTGTTTACTTTGACTTGGTGTACATAATTTATATTTGTGATAATTAATCGTGATATTTATTGTTTCTGCATTTTCAGTGTTTACTTCCACAGTCATCTCTTCCTTCTTAAGTAAGAAATTTCATCGTTCTATTTTGACTATCTCTACATTCAACAAAAATGGCGCGTACAGTGCAACAAGTCAACAAGAAGAAACAGAAAAAGCTTTTACCAAAATTCACCAAGAAAACCACAAAACGTACCAAACCCGGAGTAAGATCATTAAGAGAGATAAAATTTTATCAAGCATCTACAAATTTATTGTTAAGAAAAAGACCATTCATGAGACTGGTTAGAGAAGTTACCCAGAAATTGTCACTGCAAGCTCATTTCTGGCAATTAACAGCTCTCGAAGCTCTTCAAGAAGCCGCAGAAACATATTTAACTCATCTATTTGAACATTCAAATCTCGCTGCCATCCATGCCAAAAGAATTACAGTATTTCCTAAGGACGTACAATTCATCTTGCGAATCAAAGAAGATGATTTATAAAATGAATGAATGAAGAGTTGACCAAAAAAGGAATCATATGTATGGATTGAAATTTCCCACAAAATTATAACTTATTTTGCTCTAAAATGAAAATAAGACAAGTTTATTTTACAACAATTAAATCAATTTTTTTGGTAAATTAGTTTCAAGTCACCTTTAATCATTTTTATTCCAAAAGAGCCGCAACACATCAAACTTTTTTTTCGAGAAGGCTGAAATCCATGTGTTCATAAAGTGTCAAGTTCAAATGGATAAATAAACACGATATTGATGTTAAAAAAATGGCGCGGTTTTCATTTCTATTTTGTTTTCTTTTTTACTGGTTTGATCGACATTGTCATCTTTATTAACAACGTTTAATCACTGTCAATTGGTTTGAATTTTTCTGTGCACTTCAATGCTATGATGAGAATTAAAAGACCTATTATCACGATTATTGAACAAACCATAAGTTAGCTCGTTAGTTGAGGAATATCGCATACAATAGCATTGTTTAAGACGGTAGTTTATATTGATTATGGATTTAATGATGAATTGTTTCATGATTATTATTACAAGCAATTAGTAGAAGAAAATTATAATATAATAAATAAGAAAAAAAGGTAAAAATATTCTAAAATACTTTTCTCAAACATGATTTTAGTAAATATGTTAACATGATTTGCATATCTATTACATTTAAAGTGAATGTAAATTGATATAACAAGAAAAGTTAATTTTAGTTAACAAAAAAGGCAAAGAGTTTTATGTTTAATATTACAGAGTAATATCAATTCACGGTGCCATCAGTTCACCAATTAGTTCATCTTCATCAATGATTTGATCATCGATATCACCTTCATCATCTTGAATGTATAGACTAGCAGCAAAGACAATATCACGTCTTATTTTCTCAGAGGTTTCATCCATTTTTTCAGCAAGATTTGGATTCCCCATGACTTCAGCAGCACCTTTGAGATCTTTAAGTAATTCATCAAGTCTTTGAATACATCTAACAATTAAACCTTCCTGAACTTGTGTTAACTGCATGATCTCGGCAAAAGGCTGAAATAAAATAAAATAAAATGAATGAATAAAATGAAATTATGAAGTTGTAAATACATATTTCTTAAATAACTCACCATTCCACAGGCCCATTTATAGACAACAACCATAAGACCATCTTTTAATTGATTAACAAAATCTTGAGCAGGCATTTTACTTCCAAATTTTTGTTGAAGTTGTCCAATATTTAATGCAATATCTCGCGTTTTGGTAAGAAGCTAAAATACAAAAGAAAAAATGAAAATGAAATATTAATTAATTGTCACATACAGAATTTAAAATTAAAAGATACTTACTTTTTTCATAGTTTCATCGAATTCAGGTGGCTCAGAGTTTTGTTGATAAACAAAAATAGATAATAAAGAGGCAATGTAAGGTGGAGAGAGATCAGCAAGAAGATTTTCAGTAATAAGCTCAGTTAAAATCAATTCATGTTCAGACATTGAACAACCAATTTTTCCTTTCAATTTTAGGACCATTTCTTCATCATCTGTAATATAATCTAAACTTTTGAGTACTTTCACTTTACACTCATAATCAGGAAGACAACTTAAACTTTCCCTGGATAATTCAAATTTGGCACGACTTAATTTGGTTTCCAGTGAAATACGAGTCATCATTATCTTGAAATGATTTAAAAAGTTAGGACAAATTAAACATTCACGTGATCGAAGATGATTCCGTTTAACCTCTAATGAATCAAATACTTCTACTTGATCCAATTTATTAAGACCCATTTCTTTAATTGGATCAATTTCATCCAGAAAAAAGATTCCCATTGAACATGATAAGGGTCTTTCATGACTATGACCAGCTAATAAGTTGAGAGTATTTTCAATACATTTTTTTGTCACTGGTCGTTCACTTAATGATAATCCATCTTTTTCTCGTTGAATCCGAAAATCAGCTCCATCCACAATATCTTTCAATATCATTATTATATCAGATGGAAATACTTTGGTTGAAATAAATCGTAAATTATTCACTTCTCCATTGTATGATACAATATCTTCTGGAAATAATCCTAAAACATCAAATATTGTCTCCTTTGAAGCTGTTCGGGAATCATAAATTATTCCCAACATAAATGGATGTTCTTCATGATCAAAAACAATTAACCGGCCATTAATTTTCATTTTTTTAAGTTCAACCAATTGACGACAAATAATTGGCATTGCCTCTTTACGTAATCGACGACAATCAATTACATCATTACAAAATTCCCTAAGGTCACCACAAAATTCACATGATTCAAGTTGAATACACTAAGTTGCTCTTGTAATTCTTCACTTCTCTGTCTTGAGAGGCCATTTTTTGGGTTGATGTTCACCAAAAGATCTTTCCATTATTGATTCAATTCTAATATGTTCTCGAACTCTTAAATTATTCAATATCATAGAATAAGTTAACCGAAATTGCGATTGAAGCTCAGTTGCTTTACCAACAGTCATCCGAGCAAGAATAGACATTTCAGGTATATCACCTTTACAAAGTATTAACACATTTCCAGTTTTATCTTTACCACGACGACCTGCACGACCAGCCATTTGAATGTACTCTGAAGGTTCTAAATCACGAAAAACTTTACCATCATGCTTTTGAATTGAATCAAATATTACACTACGAGCTGGCATATTTATTCCCATGGAAAATGTTTCAGTAGCAAAAAGTGCTCGAACCAATCCTTCAGTGAATAATATTTCTGTGATTTCTTTGAGAAGAGGTAAAATGCCACTGTGATGGATACCTAAACCATTTTTCAACAATCCAGTTATCTCTTTGATTTGAGGAATAGATCGATCTACAGCTTTTAAACGTAATAAAGATCGATGAATAAATCTTTGAATTCTTCCTTTTTCTTCTGCTGTGGTTAAATCCAAAGGACTTGCAAGCATACGAGCATATTGGTCACATCGTCGTCGAGAGAATGTAAAAATAATAACTGGAAGTTGTTGCTCTTTAGCTAAATGTCGAATAACTGTAATATAAGTTTGTCTAACAGTTTTATCTGATCCCATTGATGACTTATTAATAGGTCCAAAACTCTTGTGATATTTTGATTCTCTTTCTTTCTTGGCTGCCATAGCTTTACGATAATTTTCTTCTCGTAATTTACCTTGACTATCGATTAGAAGAAATTTTTCATTAATTGTTTTTCCATCACATCCAGTATACAAATAATGTTCCAATGGAACTGGACGCTTAGTAGTATAAACGACATGAATTTTACTTTTACGAGTTCTTCCCAGCCAATCAGCAAAGTCCACCACATTAGGAACAGTTGCACTAAGCAAAACAATATTTATATGATGAGGTAACATAATAAAAACTTCTTCCCAAACATGACCACGTTCTGGATCATTCACGTAATGAACTTCATCAAAAATAACCCATTCAATGTCTTGAACTAGACTTGCTCCTCGATATAACATGTGTAATAATATTTCTGTAGTCATAATTAAACAAGGAGCTTCATTCCGAATTTGAACATCACCTGTTAAAATGCCAATATTAGATGAACCAAAGGTAGTACAAAAATCACGAAATTTTTGATTAGATAGAGCTTTGATAGGTGAAGTGTACACAACACGAGTTAAATTTCGTTTAATTGATAGGGCAATGGCATATTCAGCGACAACTGTTTTACCGGCAGAAGTGTGAGCAGCAACAAATACATTCTTTTTATCTTCCAGGCAGAGTATTGCTTGTTTTTGAAATGTATCAAGTTCAAATGGATATGTAAATGCTGGTGATGGTATTAACTCTGAGAATGGTGGTAACTCCTGATCAACATCTAATATTTCTGCAAATTCAGTTGATTTGAAAAGACTGTCTGCCTTTTTAGGTAAATTTTTCACAGAAAGAGATACAACTGATGCCATACTGATTATTGTTGATGTTGTTTCAGATGTTTTAATCGTGACAGAAATACTTCATGATAACAAGTTTATAATGTTAAAAATATATCAATATCACTTAATAATTAGAAAATACGGTTAATTTAGTCAAAATTCTAGACTAGAAAAAATATAATGTAAAAAACTGTATTTACTGTTCAATGTTTATTGTATTTTTATGAGATGAAAATGAAAACAAAAATAACAGTTGTTCTTTTGTTTGACACTAGATGACTCTCACCTTAGTCTTTCCAAACACAAATTTTTCAGGTGATTGGAAACAAAACATGAATCTTGTTTGAAATTAACAAATGTTTTTATTTACTATATAACTTTATTTTTATTTGTATATTGTGATCCAGAATCAAGGATTATTAGTGATTTTAGTGTGTCACAGGTTTCCTGTTGTCAACAATAAAAATGTCTGATGTTTGGGATATAATGAGTGGGATATCATCTCCCCATCAGTCAACATTTTCATCATCATCTGTTCAACAAGGAGATATGAAAAAACAAAAAATGAAAAAAATGAAACCTGAAGGAATGACTAGAGAACTTTTTGCTCTTCTTACCGACGATAACAATGACTGTGCACCGATAGTTAGTACAGATTTTAGTCCAGCTGGTAGTCTCACTGGTGGTTACAAACAAAACAAGGCTAAATTAGGTCTTAAAAAGGTCCGTCCATGGAAATGGATGCCTTTTGCTAATGCCAGTAGGACCGATGGCTTTAAATTACACCATTGGAGAAGAGTTGCTGATGAAGGAAAAGAATATCCATTTGCTAAATTTGCTGCAGTATGTCAAGACTTCTCCTCTTTTTACAGGTCTTCTAATCGATCGCATTTTTTAACCTTTTTTTCATATATTTCGTATATTTACAGAAAGTTACAATACCATCTTATACCGAAGTTGAATATCAACAACATCTTCAAACTGACAGTTGGTCAAAAGCCGAAACAGATCATCTTTTCCATTTGTGTAAACGCTTTGATTTAAGGTTTATTGTGATTCACGATAGATGGGATAGATTGACATTTCCATTACCGCGTAGTGTTGAAGATCTCAAAGAAAGATATTATAGTGTTGTCAATACATTAAAAGAAATACGAACACCACCTGGACAAGAGCCTAAATTAAAATATTTTGATGCAGAACATGAAAGGAGAAGAAAAGAGCAGTTAACAAAATTGTATGAAAGAACATCAGAACAAGTTGAAGAAGAGCAAAAATTGTTGGAAGAATTGCGTAAAATTGAAATGAGGAAGAAAGAAAGAGAAAAGAAAACTCAAGATTTACAAAAGTTGATTGCTGCAGCAGATAAAAATTCCGATGGCTCTAAAGCAGATACTCCAGGAGCAAATAAAAATCCAGGTATTTTAATGATAATGAAGATGTTAAAATATATTGCCAGAAATATAATCAATTTTGTTATTTGTTTCACTTAGGTCCAGGTCGTCCCGGTCCCGGAAGAGGAAGAAAGAAAACTTCTCATCTCAAACTTAATGCTGTTGGTAAAGGTTCAGATCCATCTACTCCAAATGCAACAAATGTATTGGAGTCTGTAGGAATAAAATTCCCTGAAATTAAATCGAGTGGTGTTAGTTTACGCTCACACAAAATGAAATTACCAGGATCAGTTGGAACTAAGAAGGCAAAAGCTATTGAGCAACTTCTAATTGAATTGAATGTTGATCTTAAACCTATGCCGACCGAAGAGATTTGTCAACATTTCAATGAACTTAGATCTGATATGGTCTTACTTTATGAACTTAAAATGGCGCTTGCTTCATCAGAATTTGAATTACAAACACTTAAACATCAATTTGAAGCTCTTGCACCAGGTATTGCAACGCAAGTGATCCCAACAATTGAATCAGCTTTACCATCATTGTCAACTGGAGATGAGGCCACAAATGTATCTTCATTTTTGGAGACACCTAAAAAAATATCTGAGATAATCGATGTAGATTCTGGTCCAGGATCATCCATACGTAAAAGGAAAGCTGCTCTTCAACAAGAACACCTTTTAAAGAAACTCAAGAAAACTTGATTTACCTTATAAAATCTCTGTTATATAATGGTCTGAGCTGTTCATTTATGAAAAGTTTTGTTTATTAATTGTACATATCGATGTCATATTTTTCATTTCATAAAATAAATATGTTAAGAGTTTGATTAGTTTCGTTTCCTTTTTCATTCATTTTTTTTGTCAACTCTTCTTTATTTACTTCATAAATCATCTTCTTTGATTCGCAAGATGAATTGTACGTCCCTTGGAAATACTGTAATTCTTTTGGCATGGATGGCAGCGAGATTTGAATGTTCAAATAGATGAGTTAAATACGTTTCTGCGGCTTCTTGAAGGGCTTCGAGAGCTGTTAATTGCCAGAAATGAGCTTGCAGTGTCAATTTTTGGGTAACTTCTCTAACCAGTCTCATGAATGGTCTTTTTCTTAGCAATAAATTTGTAGACGCTTGATAAAATTTTATCTCTCTTAATGATCTTACTCCGGGTTTGGTACGTTTTGTGGTTTTCTTTGTGAATTTTGGTAAAAGCTTTTTCGGTTTCTGTTTCTTTTTGGTGACTTGTTGCACTGTTCGCGCCATTTTTGGAGGACAAACCAGTTACCAAATGTTGATACCAAATGCTGATACAAATGTCAGCCAAGACTACAGGACACTGTACCACAGATAATCTTTGATCCGATCACAATATAGCAGATATAAAACTTTAAAACAATTCAAAAAATTTATTAATTGATGTTTTGATTTTCAATCACAAAAAAGACACATAAAATAGAAAGAAATGAGCATACAGCTTGAGAAGTTGAGAGTCATCTAGTGTCAGATAAAAGAACTCGGCACTATTGATGAGTAAATCTGACGTTAAAGTGGAGGTAAATTTATTAGGTTGTCCGGAGCAAACGATGACTCGGTTTTTGTTTAATTGAATTTGATCTAATTGTCGTATGCAGATGAATATTCGTAGTTAGCATCTTACACTATCCATACAATTTTTGCAATTAATAAAATCTATTATCTCAATCAATTGCTAAGATATTCAAATTCAATGAAAAAAATGAGAAATGTTTTTATGCCCTATTCTTTAACATTGATTCAAATCAAAAATGCAGTTTCACCAAGATTTGCCAATTCTCATTTATTTCTCTCATTTTTTAATTAAATTTAAATATCTTCGCAATTAATTGAGATACAGTGAGATCCCAATTAAACAAAAACCGAGTCATCGTTTGCTCCGCACAACCTAACTGACTGGTAGGGATACAAAATACGATCATATTGTGTAAAAATAAAATAAGTTTTCTATTGATGAAATCCGTAACAAATATGGACTGAAACTCGGCCTCTTCAGATCATTTGAATTTAAAAGCATATTATTTAATTAAAGAATCAGAGCTTAAAGGCCTAAAATCACAAGATACGACAGAATCATCAAGATCGCCACTGAATCTTAAATTACATTGACGGACGTTGATCTAACCAGGTAAAATATCATCTGCATCAGGTATATTTTGATAGCGGCCGAGATTACATAATTGGTGAACGGTTCTGAAAATCCAAAATTAAATGAAATGAAATGTAATGAAAATCACCACGGATTTTTTCCCAGAAAGTTCTCTCCATTCTTTCATCAATTGTTTGTAAATCAAAATCAGCAACTTCAATCGTGAGTTCACTCCTCTGCTTCTTGAGAATGATAATGACAATCATGGTGATAATAATAATTTTCATACAAACAGCAACCAGAACAAAGTTTAATTGCGTTTAATGTTGAGTTTCATAAAATAAAACGGTCATGTTCTTGTTGAATGATGATACATAATTTTTAACATTGTTGGTTAAGGTTTTCTTTCCTTTTCCCTGAAAGATCTGATTATTGATAAAGAACTTTCATTTGTAGGTTTGCCAATTTCTCCCAAAGTGATTAAATTTGTAATTTCCCAGCAGTAAAAAATGGATCTATTCCTCCATCAATCTTGATATATAATTGCATGCTTGTATCTCTGAAAAGTCCAACATTGTTGTGACCATCAGCAGTCAAATGGTGAACAGGGTCTTTACTTTTTAAAGAGATTTCGAATTTTGCTGAATTAATCACTGAGATGTTGAGACGAGTAAAGTTGTAGATGATGAATGGGTCATGGCATGCTCCTTGTGGTGACCATTTACAATCCATTTGTATTTTGGATCTAATGATTTAAAAAACACTAAGATCGTGCATTCTGGCGGTAAAATTAACAGGCGAAGCTGTGGAAATGAAAAGGTGTCTCAATCTTTCCTCGTCAAAGTCTTGGTTTACATCAATAAATCCGGCAATTGAATCTAAAAGTAAAAAAGATGTAAAAACAACTCCAATTGAATGAATAGGTAATCCAAGCTTACAGAGCTAAACATCCACTAATACCATATAGTATCCTGCATCCTCAGGTAAAGTAGAATCAAATATCACCGAATAAAACACTTCATCTGATGTTGATACGATGGTGTAATCGTGCTGAGGCCATTGTTTAAATTTTTCTTTACTAATAAATAATGAAATTAAGAGGGGCCACAAAAAGCGATCGATTTACCAAAAAATTGAACTTGTAAGACTAATTGTCAACCTGCTTGTGAATTAACTGTGGAGCGAGTTGAGTTGTTAGTCAGTACACCGAAGCTCCCACTAGTATGTAGCTGCAACATATGCATTGGCTAACTAAGGCTTATAGCTTGGACGGATCTTTCTACAGTCCATCCGCCTCAGTTCTCCCTATCTAGGTCCGGGCACCTAGGATGTCGTAGGAGAATAGTAGCTCCGAAGACATGCTACAGATGTCCTCTGTAGTGGGAACGCATAAAACATGGCTTTGCTTCAGCACAGGTAACTGAAGAAGCTATCACTAAGGTGCGACCTAAAAAGTTTGCAACCTCTCTTATTGTTCGTACGTTGATTTGGGCTTAACCCTTTATTTGAATACTTTGCTGTTGTTCTTTTTCGATAGATATTGGCAATAAGAGAGACTCATATAAAATTTTGTGGCTGATGTTCACTGAAATCACGTTCAGCCTTCGGCAATTTTCAAAAACGCGCCAAATTTTTCGAATCCATTTTTTTGGCCTGTCGACCAGAATTTCCAAAGTTTGTTATTCTTTCATCGTTCATGAGCCTTTTATTTGCCAGATAAACACTGAATTCTGAAATTTCTAAGGCCATGAGATTTTGCAACACTGATACAAAGAAAGGCAGAGACTACAGTACAGGGTGTAAAGAAAGTTTTGGTAGGGCGGGACTCAAAAGATTGCGTATGAGAGAGCGGTTTTTTTAAAAATAATGGTTTGACTCACATAAAGAAACCAAAAAAGATCTCTGCGCAATGAAGTGGGCTGAGCTTACTTGCCAAAACTTTCTTTACACCCTGTAAAGTACCAGATAATGACAGTAACTTGAAATAGCTTATTCCTACTATTCGCCGGGCAGTGTATTGAAAAAATACAGATTTTTTAAACCCCTCCTTAATTAGGGACCATTGACAAATTTACTGTCACTTTCTGGTACTGTCATTATCTGGTACTTTACTGTAGTTAAAAAACAATTTCCGTTTATCAAATGTGTGAGTTTCATTGCCTGATTTTCTACTAAATCAATACATGCTAAAAATATGTCAAAATGTTTCTTGTATTGTTACTAATCCCTCCCTACTTAGGTCCGGGTACCAAGAGTGTTGTACGGAGATACTTTCTCCTGAAAATAAACTAAAGAGCTCCTCTGTACATTGTGTAGCGAAAGTACGTGTAGGAGGCAAAAAAATATTTCCCTCTGCGTAGAAACCAATTTTAATTTTCTTTGATTTCTCGATTGAGAAACTGATTTCATCTCTTAAGCCCTCCTACCTACACGAACTTTCGCTACACCCTGTAGTGGGCATGTATAAGACATAGCTTTTGTGAACACACAAGTTAAATAAACCAAGTTCAGTCACTATTGTGAAACTGCACTTAATTTTTTCAATGGTATTAAGGAGGAGTTTTATCTACTTTTGAATTTCGTCGATTTTTGATTGGATTTCTTTAATTATCAATTGACTTAATTCAATTTTCTTTCGTGAAACTTTAATCCAAAAACTCGCCAAATCAGATTAAAACAAAGTTTGAGGCTAAATTCGATCTAATAAGACAGATTGCAATCATGAATTTCGCTGCCCGATGAATAGTGTAAATAAGCTATTTCTAGCGAGGTGCAGTTTCTCAATGGTGACTGTAACAAAAGAAGAGTTGACAAAAAAAATGAATGAAAAAGGAAACGAAACTAATCAAACTCTTAACATATTTATTTTATGAAATGAAAAATATGACATCGATATGTACAATTAATAAACAAAACTTTTCATAAATGAACAGCTCAGACCATTATATAACAGAGATTTTATAAGGTAAATCAAGTTTTCTTGAGTTTCTTTAAAAGGTGTTCTTGTTGAAGAGCAGCTTTCCTTTTACGTATGGATGATCCTGGACCAGAATCTACATCGATTATCTCAGATATTTTTTTAGGTGTCTCCAAAAATGAAGATACATTTGTGGCCTCATCTCCAGTTGACAATGATGGTAAAGCTGATTCAATTGTTGGGATCACTTGCGTTGCAATACCTGGTGCAAGAGCTTCAAATTGATGTTTAAGTGTTTGTAATTCAAATTCTGATGAAGCAAGCGCCATTTTAAGTTCATAAAGTAAGACCATATCAGATCTAAGTTCATTGAAATGTTGACAAATCTCTTCGGTCGGCATAGGTTTAAGATCAACATTCAATTCAATTAGAAGTTGCTCAATAGCTTTTGCCTTCTTAGTTCCAACTGATCCTGGTAATTTCATTTTGTGTGAGCGTAAACTAACACCACTCGATTTAATTTCAGGGAATTTTATTCCTACAGACTCCAATACATTTGTTGCATTTGGAGTAGATGGATCTGAACCTTTACCAACAGCATTAAGTTTGAGATGAGAAGTTTTCTTTCTTCCTCTTCCGGGACCGGGACGACCTGGACCTAAGTGAAACAAATAACAAAATTGATTATATTTCTGGCAATATATTTTAACATCTTCATTATCATTAAAATACCTGGATTTTTATTTGCTCCTGGAGTATCTGCTTTAGAGCCATCGGAATTTTTATCTGCTGCAGCAATCAACTTTTGTAAATCTTGAGTTTTCTTTTCTCTTTCTTTCTTCCTCATTTCAATTTTACGCAATTCTTCCAACAATTTTTGCTCTTCTTCAACTTGTTCTGATGTTCTTTCATACAATTTTGTTAACTGCTCTTTTCTTCTCCTTTCATGTTCTGCATCAAAATATTTTAATTTAGGCTCTTGTCCAGGTGGTGTTCGTATTTCTTTTAATGTATTGACAACACTATAATATCTTTCTTTGAGATCTTCAACACTACGCGGTAATGGAAATGTCAATCTATCCCATCTATCGTGAATCACAATAAACCTTAAATCAAAGCGTTTACACAAATGGAAAAGATGATCTGTTTCGGCTTTTGACCAACTGTCAGTTTGAAGATGTTGTTGATATTCAACTTCGGTATAAGATGGTATTGTAACTTTCTGTAAATATACGAAATATATGAAAAAAAGGTTAAAAAATGCGATCGATTAGAAGACCTGTAAAAAGAGGAGAAGTCTTGACATACTGCAGCAAATTTAGCAAATGGATATTCTTTTCCTTCATCAGCAACTCTTCTCCAATGGTGTAATTTAAAGCCATCGGTCCTACTGGCATTAGCAAAAGGCATCCATTTCCATGGACGGACCTTTTTAAGACCTAATTTAGCCTTGTTTTGTTTGTAACCACCAGTGAGACTACCAGCTGGACTAAAATCTGTACTAACTATCGGTGCACAGTCATTGTTATCGTCGGTAAGAAGAGCAAAAAGTTCTCTAGTCATTCCTTCAGGTTTCATTTTTTTCATTTTTTGTTTTTTCATATCTCCTTGTTGAACAGATGATGATGAAAATGTTGACTGATGGGGAGATGATATCCCACTCATTATATCCCAAACATCAGACATTTTTATTGTTGACAACAGGAAACCTGTGACACACTAAAATCACTAATAATCCTTGATTCTGGATCACAATATACAAATAAAAATAAAGTTATATAGTAAATAAAAACATTTGTTAATTTCAAACAAGATTCATGTTTTGTTTCCAATCACCTGAAAAATTTGTGTTTGGAAAGACTAAGGTGAGAGTCATCTAGTGTCAAACAAAAGAACAACTGTTATTTTTGTTTTCATTTTCATCTCATAAAAATACAATAAACATTGAACAGTAAATACAGTTTTTTACATTATATTTTTTCTAGTCTAGAATTTTGACTAAATTAACCGTATTTTCTAATTATTAAGTGATATTGATATATTTTTAACATTATAAACTTGTTATCATGAAGTATTTCTGTCACGACTAAAACATCTTAAACAATGCGAAAAATGCAGTTGTCCATACTACTAAGCGTCCAGTTTCAATTGAATATTATTAAACTGGTTGTGATCGGTGATCGTTTCACTGATCGATAGTCAAGCCAAATTCCATGGGAATAATATATCAGCTCGTGGCGTAATATTTCAGTCAATTCAAAAGCATGAAGATAAAGTTTTTCGTGGTTTATAACATCCAGATAAAATTCAAAAGCTATCGATACTTAAATCACTTGCTCAATCATAACAAACTACCACACCTCTAACCATCTTCAGATTACGAGAGTTAGTTTTTGTTCGTTAATCAAACCGTATCAGATATCTGAAAATTGTTTAATGGGCAATCTGGTTATAACTAGTAACAGAGATTATGTGAAATCCAACTAAATTCCATGTTATCAAAAAGGGAAGCAAGATTTTTCCATCACATATTCAGCATTCAAAATGAAACATTGATGATGTATCAACTCAGCTCATCATTATGGTTAAATTGGGAAAAATTTACTGTCAAGCTATTAAATGTTTAGGTTTGGAGTAGAAACGAAAGATTTTTGAATTACAATTAGATCAGAAAGAGATTAATCGAGCATGAACAATTACTAATAAGTCGAATCAAGGTATTGAAACAAAACATCATACGATGAGTGCTGATATGGTCCGTTTAGAGAAAACAAACATAAAAATATTTATGACGAGGATCTTGTGTTTTTTCATCATCCTACGATCAGGAGTTTCCCATCAAGCTAACAGCCTTGATGATTAGAATAGATTAAAATCAACAGCTTATTTATTGTATCAAATTGTTTCAGGAGATGATTCAGCTGACTGTAAGAAGTAACATTACACAAGACTCGAACCAAAAAAAAGTGTTGCTCCAAAACATTGACAGTTGATAGGAGGAGTCAAAAACAGCTTATCTCATTCTCCTCCAATCAGAATGGAATCACCTGATGTTGTTATTATCTTGTTTGTGCCACAAAATGAAAAAAAGATACACTAAAAGTCAATTTTTATTTCCTAACTGTTTATTATTTAATTGTTGTTCTTGTTGCTATTTTAATTTGTGATTAAATATAATGAAAGCTGGAAAATTGGTCTCTAGTGGACTGATTCTTCGTGAATTACTTAGAAATTCATCTACTCGGTTAACTTTACCCTGGGAAAAACTTGTGAAACGTTTGGTCAAATCTGAAAATTGGGCTAACGAAAATTCTGAAAGCAGATCTATCTCTTTTAACATATCTGATACTTTGAGTGAAAAAAGTAAAAATAGTTTAAAAGATGAACCTCCTGGATCTTCAACTAGTGAATCGGATGAGTCACAATCTTCATCTTCTAATGAAGTTCTACACAATCAGTTCATTGAATGGATGAAAAGTGAAGGTGAGTAAACTCTATTTTATTCTCAATGATTAACAAGTGAGGGAAGCGTTGCTCTTTGCACTTTTTTCCTGTCCTTTATTCCTTTTTTAAATGACGTTAATTTTTCTCCATTTGCTATTTAGGCTCATCTACTACACCATCATCATTACCATCACAGTCACCATCAGAGGATAGTTCTGGAAACCCTAACTCTACTCCAACTCATGTCTCTTTGCCTAGATTAAGTCGTAACTCTGTGACCAGTAAAGCTCGTCATTTAATAGTCAGCTTAGCTCAAGCCAAAACACCAGTTAGTCAAGCCATTCAGCTTCAAGAGCTTTGTCGTCATCTCATTAATTATCCTGAAGCATGCGGCTTCAGCCTTCAAGAAGGAGCTCTCATGTGCATTACCAAATTAGCAAAGGAAACCAAAGATAGCAAAGTAAAAGCATATTCTCGTCAAGCCTTAGCCCTTCTAGGATACGCTGCTCCTCCAAAAGGTCGGGGAATCCGAATTTTAAGTATTGATGGTGGAGGAACCAAAGGTATTGTGATGATTGAGATTTTGCGACAACTTGAAAAAGTAACTGGCAAACCAATTCATCAATTATTTGATCTGATTTGTGGTGTTAGCACTGGAGCTATTTTAGCAATGTTATTAGGAGCTTTACAAACTAACATTGATGAATGTATTCGTTTGTATCAAAAATGTTCTGAACAAATGTTTCAAAAGGATACTCTTCGAGGCGCTGGGCGTCTTCTTTGGACCCATGCATATTACGATACTGCTGTTTGGGAAAAAATATTACGTTCTGTTTATCCGGAGAAAGCTTTAATTGAAACAACTCAGAAAGAAAATATGCCTAAAATTGTTACCGTCTCAGCTTTAATCAACACCCCGACCATCCAACCATTTGTTTTTCGCAATTATAACCATTCTGATAAATCTCTAAGCTATTATGAAGGATCTTGTAAATATGCTATTTGGCAAGCAATCAGAGCCTCAGCTGCTGCGCCTGGTTATTTTGAAGAATTTTTATTAGACAATTATGTTCACCAAGATGGCGGGGTTTTATTGAACAATCCAACTCCAGTTGCTATTCATGAAGCACAACTTCTGTGGCCTAACGAGGATATTCATGTTTGCGTTTCCATTGGAAGTGGTAAATATTCACCATTGAATTTAAAGAAAGAGGAGAAAGTTGCTTTAACAAGCTTGAGAACAAAAATAAGTAGAGTCATTGATTCAGCTACTGACACAGAAGGACCTCATCGATTATTACAAGATCTTCTGAAACCTGGAACTTATTTCCGCTTCAACCCAGCCTTGTCTCAATGGTATTCACTTGACGAGCACAGACCTGAAAAATTATCACAAATGCAAACCGATGCTGCCATGTATTTACGGAAAAACGAGTACAAACTGAACAAGGCTGCGAAAGCACTTGTTGAAAAAAGGTCTACATTTCAGTCGGTCATGGATCAGATGCGTTATGATCTCAGAGATTAATATTTATGGTGACCTCGTCCTTTTAGTTATACATTTTAGTTTAATGTAATTATATTGTTAATTTAACGTAAATATATGCATGTAAATATGTTAAGATACTTTTAATGAACAATCTTTATAAATTTACAGTTTCAACTTAACTTGCTAAAAAATCTTATGATTATAAGATATCAGTCAATAATAATAAATTTACAATAAATGTACAATATTTTCAAAGTTTCGGCAACCTCGATAATACAAAACTTAAAAAATTAAAATATTCATAATATAATAAATTCATTACGATAATTCTTTTTGGACAAAGCTTCATTTTCTTATTAAAAGTGACTTTTTTCGGCTCTTTTCCTTCATTAGCAACTCTTCTCCAATGGTATAACTTAAAGTCGTCGATCTTGCTTGAAATAACAAAAGGCATCCGTTTTCATAGATTGACCTTTTTAAGACCCAATTTTGCCTTTTTTGTTTGTAACCGCCAGTGATACTACCAGCTGAACTAAAATCTTTACTATCACAGTCTTATACAGTTTCGCGCTAAATCAAGTTTTTTTCAGTTTTTTCGAAAGGTGTTCATTGAACTTCTTGGTTTCAATTAAATTCTCATTGCTGCCTCCAGACTTTGGTTTAACTTTGGTTTTTTGTTGAGATGCAATTGAGTTCATGAAACATTTTCTGAACTTTGAAGAGAAATAGAAAAAGATAAGGCAGATGAGAGATGTAAATACTATGTTAATTTCACTTGGTAAAAAACATTTTCTAATAGCATAACTATCTGGCGAAATACAAAGAACCAGGTAGTTAGGATCCAGTCTGTTTCTCCAATTGAATGAAGCTACGGTCCACTCTTCAGCATCATATTTTGTGTGATTCACAACACATCCAGCATGAATGTGACCATTAAGGACTAAGCGAGGATTGAATTTTTTTAGAAGCATTTCTGAAACTTTATATGACAGACACTCAACACCAGGATTAAATTTATGAAGTCTGTCAATCCCCTTTTGAGAATCGATCTCATGACAAATATCGTCATTTTTTCGGTAAAGTGGGAAGTGCTGTAACATGACTGGTCTACCAAGTAAATCACTCTTTTTGAGTTTATCTTCAACACGAAGCAAATTTTCTTTAGTTTCTCGGACTAGATCAAGACCATCACCTTCGATAGCCATACTGTTGATTGTAATAAATTTGATACCTTTGACAGTCATGATGTCAGCTAAGCTTGAGTTGAAAGCTTTTTCCCAGCGTTTTCGTAAGATTGGATAAGCAGCAACCCGGTCATGAAATCCAATATCATGATTACCAACAATGAAAATTTTTTTAGTTTCTTCAGTCATTGGAAAAGTTCTGTTAAAACGCTCAACATATTTGTTGAAGTCTTCTTGATCAACTGTGAGTCCTTCATCCAGTAAATCCCCTAGAAAGATGATCATCTCAGGTTGACGTAGTTTTACCGCGGTTTGAAATGCAATCGACATTTCCCATTCACGAACAAATTGATCAACTGGATGACCCTTTCTTTTTCCCAAAAGATGAACGTCAGTAAGAACCATGACTCGAAGCCATTTATCATCTTTAGAATCAGGACACGGCCAATCACATGGATGAATTGAAATGAAATGCAGAAGGAATAGATTCAAAACAAGAGTTAGTAGACAAATGAGAGACCAAGAGATCAGTCTAAAAAAAGCTGAAAATAAAAGTTCCATGATTTCGAAACACGATCGGAAAATACGGTCTTTGTGTTACGAAAAGAAAATGCATTGAAGGTTGTACCAATGGCCAAGTTTCGCGCTAAATCAAGTTATCTCAATTTTTTCAAAAAGTATTCATGGCGAAGAGCAGCTTTACTTTTACAAAAGGATGGTCTAATTATCGTCGGTAAGAAGAGCAAAAAGTTCTCTGGTCATTCCTTCAGGTGTGACACACTAAAATCACTAATGATCCTTGATTCTGGATCACAATATACAAATAAAAATAAAGTTATACAGTAAATAAAAACATTTGTTAATTTCAAACAAGATTCATGTTTTGTTTCCAATGGTTGAGGTTATATGTACACAAAGATACTATCCGATATCTGTATCTGATACCACCAATAATAACTAAATTTTTCGTTTAATGAATAGAAAAGCCTTAATCTGAAGTTAGAACAAGAATTTTTGAGCATTTTAATGATGTTGATGAATTGAAGAAAGATTTAAATAAAAATTTAATAATGGATTAAACTGATCTCAAATCATTCTAACAGATATCTGTTTCAAATTTTGCGGTAAAAAAATTGCACTCGTCTAAGTTTCTAGAAACAAAAAATTTATCAAAACTAGAATCGAACCCTGACCATAACCTTTGCCTTCGCTACACTCTAACCACTGAGCTAAGAATCAATTTTCAAAATTAGATTAAACTTATTAAGTGTATTGTTTAAGCAGACACTGTTAAATGTAGTCAATACGTTAAACTCATCCCTCTGGCGTTAAGGTACATTAATGTATGCATTCTTTGAGTGGGATTTAATAAAAATTGATCAAAAAATTAACTTTTAATCAATTATTAAACTATTATTTGATCCTTTCCATTCAACATCATTATGTGTACGGTTAACTTAATAGTTAAAGATACACAGATTTGTGTACATATAACCTGTTCCGTTTCCAATCACCTGAAAAATTTGTGTTTGGAAAAGACTGAGGTGAGAGTCATCTAGTGTCAAACAAAAGGAATACTACTATTTTTGTTTTCATTTTCATCTCATAAAAAAACAATAAACATTGAACATAAAATACAGTTTTTTACATTATATTTTTTCTAGTCTAGAATTTTGACTAAATTAACCGTATTTTCTAATTATTAAGTGATATTGATATATTTTTAACATTATAAACTTGTTATCATGAAGTATTGCTGTCACGATTAAAACATCTGAAACAACATCAACATTAACCAGTATGGCATCAGTTGTATCTCTTTCTGTGAAAAATTTACCTAAAAAGGCAGACAGTCTTTTCAAATCAACTGAATTTGCAGAAATATTAGATGTTGATCAGGAGTTACCACCATTCTCAGAGTTAATACCATCACCAGCATTTACATATCCATTTGAACTTGATACATTTCAAAAACAAGCAATACTCTGCCTGGAAGATAAAAAGAATGTATTTGTTGCTGCTCACACTTCTGCCGGTAAAACAGTTGTCGCTGAATATGCCATTGCCCTATCAATTAAACGAAATTTAACTCGTGTTGTGTACACTTCACCTATCAAAGCTCTATCTAATCAAAAATTTCGTGATTTTTGTACTACCTTTGGTTCATCTAATATTGGCATTTTAACAGGTGATGTTCAAATTCGGAATGAAGCTCCTTGTTTAATTATGACTACAGAAATATTATTACACATGTTATATCGAGGAGCAAGTCTAGTTCAAGACATTGAATGGGTTATTTTTGATGAAGTTCATTACGTGAATGATCCAGAACGTGGTCATGTTTGGGAAGAAGTTTTTATTATGTTACCTCATCATATAAATATTGTTTTGCTTAGTGCAACTGTTCCTAATGTGGTGGACTTTGCTGATTGGCTGGGAAGAACTCGTAAAAGTAAAATTCATGTCGTTTATACTACTAAGCGTCCAGTTCCATTGGAACATTATTTGTATACTGGATGTGATGGAAAAACAATTAATGAAAAATTTCTTCTAATCGATAGTCAAGGTAAATTACGAGAAGAAAATTATCGTAAAGCTATGGCAGCCAAGAAAGAAAGAGAATCAAAATATCACAAGAGTTTTGGACCTATTAATAAGTCATCAATGGGATCAGATAAAACTGTTAGACAAACTTATATTACAGTTATTCGACATTTAGCTAAAGAGCAACAACTTCCAGTTATTATTTTTACATTCTCTCGACGACGATGTGACCAATATGCTCGTATGCTTGCAAGTCCTTTGGATTTAACCACAGCAGAAGAAAAAGGAAGAATTCAAAGATTTATTCATCGATCTTTATTACGTTTAAAAGCTGTAGATCGATCTATTCCTCAAATCAAAGAGATAACTGGATTGTTGAAAAATGGTTTAGGTATCCATCACAGTGGCATTTTACCTCTTCTCAAAGAAATCACAGAAATATTATTCACTGAAGGATTGGTTCGAGCACTTTTTGCTACTGAAACATTTTCCATGGGAATAAATATGCCAGCTCGTAGTGTAATATTTGATTCAATTCAAAAGCATGATGGTAAAGTTTTTCGTGATTTAGAACCTTCAGAGTACATTCAAATGGCTGGTCGTGCAGGTCGTCGTGGTAAAGATAAAACTGGAAATGTGTTAATACTTTGTAAAGGTGATATACCTGAAATGTCTATTCTTGCTCGGATGACTGTTGGTAAAGCAACTGAGCTTCAATCGCAATTTCGGTTAACTTATTCTATGATATTGAATAATTTAAGAGTTCGAGAACATATTAGAATTGAATCAATAATGGAAAGATCTTTTGGTGAACATTCAACCCAAAAAATGGCCTCTCAAAGAACAGAAGAAGTGAAAGAATTACAAGAGCAACTTAGTTGTATTCAACTTGAATCATGTGAATTTTGTGGTGACCTTAGGGAATTTTGTAATGATGTAATTGATTGTCGTCGATTACGTAAAGAGGCAATGCCAATTATTTGTCGTCAATTGGTTGAACTTAAAAAAATGAAAATTAATGGCCGGTTAATTGTTTTTGATCATGAAGAACATCCATTTATGTTGGGAATAATTTATGATTCCCGAACAGCTTCAAAGGAGACAATATTTGATGTTTTAGGATTATTTCCAGAAGATATTGTATCATACAATGGAGAAGTGAATAATTTACGATTTATTTCAACCAAAGTATTTCCATCTGATATAATAATGATATTGAAAGATATTGTGGATGGAGCTGATTTTCGGATTCAACGAGAAAAAGATGGATTATCATTAAGTGAACGACCAGTGACAAAAAAATGTATTGAAAATACTCTCAACTTATTAGCTGGTCATAGTCATGAAAGACCCTTATCATGTTCAATGGGAATCTTTTTTCTGGATGAAATTGATCCAATTAAAGAAATGGGTCTTAATAAATTGGATCAAGTAGAAGTATTTGATTCATTAGAGGTTAAACGGAATCATCTTCGATCACGTGAATGTTTAATTTGTCCTAACTTTTTAAATCATTTCAAGATAATGATGACTCGTATTTCACTGGAAACCAAATTAAGTCGTGCCAAATTTGAATTGTCCAGGGAAAGTTTAAGTTGTCTTCCTGATTATGAGTGTAAAGTGAACGTACTCAAAAGTTTAGATTATATTACAGATGATGAAGAAATGGTCCTAAAATTGAAAGGAAAAATTGGTTGTTCAATGTCTGAACATGAATTGATTTTAACTGAGCTTATTACTGAAAATCTTCTTGCTGATCTCTCTCCACCTTACATTGCCTCTTTATTATCTATTTTTGTTTATCAACAAAACTCTGAGCCACCTGAATTTGATGAAACCATGAAAAAAGTAAGTATCTTTCAATTTTAAGTTCTGTATGTGGCAATTAATTGTTATTTCATTTTCATTTTTTCTTTTGTCTTCTGTATTTTAGCTTCTTACCAAAACGCGAGATATTGCATTAAATATTGGACAACTTCAACAAAAATTTGGAAGTAAAATGCCTGCTCAAGATTTTGTTAATCAATTAAAAGATGGTCTTATGGTTGTTGTCTATAAATGGGCCTGTGGAATGGTGAGTTATTCAAGAAATATTTATTTACAACTTCATAACTTCATTTTATTTATTCATTTTATTTTTTTTATTTTAGCCATTTGCCGAGATCATGCAGCTAACACAAGTTCAGGAAGGTTTAATTGTTAGATGTATTCAAAGACTTGATGAATTACTCAAAGATCTCAAAGGTGCTGCTGAAGTTATGGGGAATCCAAATCTTGCTGAAAAAATGGATGAAACCTCTGAGAAAATAAGACGTGATATTGTCTTTGCTGCTAGTCTTTACATTCAAGATGATGAAGGTGATATCGATGATCAAATCATTGATGAAGATGAACTAATTGGTGAACTGATGGCACCGTGAATTGATATTACTCTGTAATATTAAACATAAAACTCTTTGCCTTTTTGTTAACTAAAATTAACTTTTCTTGTTATATCAATTTACATTCACTTTAAATGTAATAGATATGCAAATCATGTTAACATATTTACTAAAATCATGTTTGAGAAAAGTATTTTAGAATATTTTTACCTTTTTTTCTTATTTATTATATTATAATTTTCTTCTACTAATTGCTTGTACTAATAATAATGCAACTTACCTCATTCGAAATAAAAAGTACATATTTAATATACAATATAATGTAATTTATGCTTTTCTTGATCAAAACATATTCCATTAAATTTAATTTATTAATTTATGTGATAAGGTATGCTGTGACTAATGATCAATATAAATCATTGTTTAAACATTGCCAATGCTTCTGTTTTAAACTTCACTCCTTACAACACTGCTAATGAGTTAACTTATGGTTCAATAATCGTGATGATAGATCGTTTAAGTCCCATTATAGCATTGAAGTGTTGAATTGAAACATGTACACAAATATTTCGACCAAATATTGACCATGATTAAATGTCTCTAATAATGTCTATAAAGAGTATTAAACAATGATTGTGTCATCATCGATACTCGATAAGCTTGACCAGATGAAAGTAACTTTGGATGACAAAACATGATTAAACTGATTAAGAGAAGTCTTGACAAATGATAATGAATAGGAATCAATGGAGTAACCAATATAATAAAGAAAACAAGGAAAGGAAATAAAAAGCAACATCAAATATTGACCTTATCGATTTAACGCAATAGTATTCAGTGGATTAGTTCAGGTAAACATGTTACAAAGATCATAATAATTTGGCTAACAACTTTTACCAATCTATTAGTTGGATAAATTGAGGTGAAAATGGCAAAAAGTATCTTTAGATTTGCCTTTCGGATAATTTCATTTCTCGGTTAATACTTTGCTAGACAAGTTCAACTCGATTTCTTTCTCTCCAATTCATCAGTTTCTCCTGATTAGTTGAGTTTACATGTAAAAATAGCTACATATGGGAACCATAGTCTCTTGTAATCAACGAGGAACCCCTTCAATTGAAACTTGTGACGGATATTTGATTGAAAATTTTGTTCATTGTTGGAAATGTCCTCTCAATTCAAACATCAAACAGTTTCAAATCGGTAAAAGTAACGACTACAGTAAAGAATCTAATCAAAGTGGTGAGAATAAATCAGTGTTTGTTCCGGACGCGATTAAACGCTATCAAAGTCCAAATTTATGGAGAGACCACGTTAAAAGTAAAGTGATTGGTGAACAAGCATCTTGTAGTGATCAATCTCACCAGCAGCTGTACACTGAATCTCTTGAATGTCCTTTATGTACAGGAAAAAAGTCCTCCAAAGTGACTAAAAATGCAAGCAACACATTATGGAATCAAAAAAGCTTGAATAACACCGTAGACATTAAGGAAAGTGACTCTTCTCCAACCAATACTGACAATCAAAGTAAATCAGTTTCAAGTTTATTAACAGGCAGATCTTCGTCTACACCAAAAACTTCAACTAGTAAACTAACAACTATTGCTGAAATCAATAAAACGGTGCGAAAATGTTTCGATGAAATTAATGACGAGCAAATGATGGATCAATACAAAGGTGACAATTCATTTAAAACATCAGTTGAAGTTTTGGAAGGAGCATCAATGTCAACTGGAAACTCTTTTAAAGCACCTTTAGTCACTATTGATCCACCGAAATCAATCAATGAGGATGAAACGAATCTTGAAAAGTTGAAGGATGAAATTGAAAAGGACAAAGCTGATGAAATCCATTACAGTGGTGAAAATGAAACTTTAAGTGACCGGAAAAGGGAAGAAAAATCAATTGAACCAGACATTAGATTATCACAAGATACTGGAAAAGAGGAACTTGAATCAGATCAGAAAGTGTTGACACTTTTAAAGTCTCAAGATGGACAATCAAGTACAACAAACATTGATAATTGGTATGCAGTGGGCAAAGATGATAAAAACATCGGTTCCAATGGCAATGATAATAACAGTCTAAGTGATGGTAATAGTTGTAGTAGTGATATTTATGGTAATGCAACAATTGACCAAAATGTTATTAGTAATGTTGCCCCTAAATCCATAGGAAATGAGTTTGTACTCAATTCACTGGACAATATCAGCTTAAGTAGTCTGTCAACAGTTGAGAGTGACAATGATAGCAGTACCAATGCTTTAATACCAAGTAGATTACATAGCAATATGTCATCCTATCAGACTCAATTAATGGTTTCACAGCTGGAAAAATCAGCCTTCACTGGATCCATTGGTACAATGAGATGCTCTCTTTGTCGTTTATATCAACTCGGCTCCGAGACTTTTTGGCTATCTTTGGATGATGACATTTTAACCATCCTAAAAGTGTATCAATCATTGAGTGAATGTTTGAGGGAAAAAGAACGCCAATTGTGGAACAATAATGTTGAACTTGAGTACAAGGAGCGAATAGCCAAGCTCAGGATGAGAAAAAGAACTCGCATCTCCATTGAGAAACAATCTGACAATAAAGTTATCGTTATACTCAAAGATGGACACACAGTTTACTGTATTGAAGGTGAGTAGATATGAAATTTATACTAAATAGCAATTACACAAAATTGGTAATCAAATTGAAAATCTAGAACTGAGCACTTTCGAAAAGAACACTGAAAGTCACTTTAAAAACATAATACATTTATTGTTGTATCAACATGAAAAAGATGGAAACAATATTATTTTAGGGTTGAACATTTTGTATTGATTTTGTTTATCAAGTGTGGATAGATTGAAATTTAAACAGCGATAATCTCAAACATTGATTAACGATGCTTGAGAAAATGGTTCGAGATATTTATGGAAGATAGCAATGACCATTCAAATTTGAATTATCAAGTTTATAATCTTGAGATTGTTAACTTAGTAGATCACATTTGAATAAAAACGGAAATGTATCTTAAAAATGATGAATTTGTTTGTTGATGTGAAAGCATTAATTTGAAATGAATGGATTTGGTATCTGTTCCATCCCTTCAACCGGACAGATAACAACCACGGACGGACCTTTGCAAACAATTAATCCAAGTTCTCTAGTGTTTTCCGTAATTTTAAACGGATCATCTGGGTCTCTTAAAAATTCTTTCGTATTATCCAGGACTAGATTTAGCAATGGATCAAAACCCTTCAATATACCGGTAGCTTCACGACCTCCTTGAAATTTAACTCTTACAGGTTTATTCATAAATTTAGCCAGGTCAACAATCGACTCCTTTTTCCTTTGTAAAGGTGGTCCACTTTTGCCATCACCAGTTTTGATTGCTGTGCCTTCCTATTTAATAAAAATCAAAAAACAAAACAACTCGAGAAAGTCAATTCCATGCTAAACAAAAAATAGAAGCAACAAACATAGTGCAATAATCAAAAACAATGACACAAAAGTAACATGATACAAACCATGATTAATATAAAGCACGATTGGGATAAATTAAGCACAAATCACTTGATAATTATTATAATCAACGTTGAAATAGACCAAAGAGAAAGCTAATCGTAAACTAATTCGATTCAAGAGTCACTAAGAAAACAAAAATTGATATGTAACTGTTAACAGTTATGTCCGCTAGAGAGCACTATCCGTATAATTGGAGGGTTTTTCAAATCCAGAAAAATGAAAAAAAATCCAGTTATAAGTTTGTTAAATCAAAATATTATTAATCATAATTATATTTAATAATAAATGTCATGGGATTAAACGGTAGAAACATCTAAAATTCAGTATCAAATATAAATTTCAATCAACTTGAGGTGGAGATTGGTTTTTTTAGTCAAATGTTTGACCAATTTTCCCTCTTCTTTACCAAACGCGAGTGAACTCTTCATCATCAAAATGTCTTCCAATTATAAATCCTTTTTAAAGGCCAAATCTTATACATTATATTATTTTGTTCAAATTTTCTTTACCTATCATCGCCATCATCATCAACACCTTCTCAGATTATTTGGTATTTAATCTAAAAATGAACTTCAACAAGTAAAGGCACAAAACATGTGCTCTTAATCGATATTGTCATTGAATTTTACCTCGTCTCATCTTGTTCACCTTTACAATTCACCTTTTTTTGTCTGGTTCTTCCATCTTTCAAGAATCTTGCCTCCATTCACTCTCTATTTTATGTTCAACTTTATTTACCAGACTATCCATCAACTACACTTAGAATCAAACATTTTTTTCAACCATCATCATCGTCATTATCATCATCTTTCAAGTTTAAGCTCAATCTTTTCTTCTTTTTCTCTCTCTCTCTCTCTTTAACGAATCAATCAACTCAAATCCTCATGTAATATTGTGTGCCTCATCATCAACAATATTTCTCCCCTTTCAACATCCAACCAATTTACGATTCTTTAGTTCATTTTCATCATCTTCAACTCCTCGTCATGATAATAATTTTTGCTGTTTACCTTTTTCCTCCAACTTGAATGACAAACCAAATCAGCCAGTTACGACATTCATACAGTTTATAACCAAAATACTCTGCATGTCTTTACAGTTGCCCAAATTTTAAATACCTTTCAAGAATCACTCATCTTTACAGACACAGTTTTCCATGACAATAGTCAACCTTTTGCTTGCCTCATCATAAGATTGAACTCTTTTCTTTTTTCTCCAACCTTTCAAATTTTCTCCATCTAAACCAAGCAAAGCAAGCAGATGAGGAAAACGAAGAAGGAACAAAAAGAAGAAGAAAACAAAATGGTTCTTGATTCAGTTTAATATTTCCAATTTGTTCTCAACACCATCAACATAATCGTCATCCCTGTAGCTGCAACTTTCCCCTTTTTACCAGCTACTTAAAATAATAACTGCCTTGAGTAATACATCTTACAATCCTGGTTATTATCGTTTACTTTTTTCCTCTCAATGGTTAATGTTAAACTTGCAATTTAACAATAAAGCCAATACTCTTTTAATGGTAGCTTTTAACTATTACTTGAACAATGTCGTATCACCATGTAAAAAGCCATGTTAACATTTCCAACTATATTTAGGTAATGTCTAACACATTAACCGTCCAAAGATATTGAAAACCCTGTGATATTCAACATTAACAACAAGGAGCAAGATTTTGAAAAGCAAAGTAAACTGTATTGTAGAGAGATAATTACAATACTATTGGCATTACCTGACAAGTTTACCTTTACCATAAATCCTGTTATTACATGAAAAATGAAAATGTTGCCAAAAAAGGAATAAACAATTACAAGAAAACACTTCGCAAGCAAAAAAATGCATCAAATGGTGGCAAAATTACCAAGTCAACCCAAAGCAACCAAAACCCAAATCTGTGATTCCTAACCATATGAAGATTCAATTTAAGTGTAAATCAATTGTATTAACAGTTGATTGTTTCAAGCCTACAATTGTTGCTGTAAACCTTGATAATGAAGCAAAGTATCATTTTACATTTGATTTTACCCAATTTGTTCATCAAACCAAATTAACATTGACAACTTAATCTGTTGCCATACAATTGATGAACCCAAATAATCTTGAATGATTAAAATGCAAATAAATAATGTATAAATATATTGAAATATATATAAATACATTAAAAATGGAAACATTAAATTCATGAATGGATAAATTATCAAATTTACTTTTGAATTTTCATCATCATTTCCATTCAGATTATAATATGGAAAGCTGCATTTGAAATGACGACGAAACAAAATAGGAAAAAATGAAAATATCAAGACAAATGTAATGATAGACAAGAAAACATATTATTATAATGATTACCATATTATTTCAAGATTTATACCCAAATTCAAAGCTTATGTTTATTTTGTGCTTGTTATTTAATAACTGAATAATGATTTTCAAAATATTGTTATGAATTTGAAGCAGACAAAAAAGGCTGAAATATTGAATGTTCATTAAGATTGATTCAACATTTCCAATTGAATCACCAAATGAAATGTTTGATGAAACAAGGTTAAATCGCTCTCAATCAATAGCCAAGTTGAAACCAGATTTTAATAAACATTGAAAGGTAAAAATGAACACTTTTTTCAAACCAAACATGCAAAGATGAATTTTGAATCCATTGAAAGATTGAAAGTTTTCACATTTAAAGCACAAGTTGAATAAGTGATACAAAAATAAGGACAAAAATGAGGAAAAATTGAATGGCAAAATGGAAAAGAAAAGTGAAAAAAAAAATAATTTTCTGGTTTTAACAGCAAAAAGAAAGCCATTATTCAATCTTAAGGTTTCAATATTAGTTTACAATTTTCTTTGATTACACTTTGAATGAAAATTGTTGAGAATAAAATGTTGCCCTGAATTTGGAAAAGAATCCCAAATCAATCCCTTTTTCCTTTCCTTTCTCATGTAAATACTTTTCAACCTTTTCATTTACTTTTCAAGCAAATTAGTTATTAACATTTACTCATTAACTTTACCATTCCAATTGTTCATTGACAACCCAAATCAAATCAACAAAATGAAGCGAAAAAAGCAATTTTTAAAAGCTCTAAATGTACAGCTTGAAATCAATCAAATGAAACTTTCCTCTCTTCATCAAATCAAATTGAACCAAATGATATTGTAATGCTAATGCAAGTCTGCTGAATCTACGGTTTTTTTTTGTCAGAATTTTTCACGATTTTTTTCCCTTCTCCAACGGAATAAGTTGAACATAATGAAATGAAGAATCCAATTGTTAACTCTTTTCAAAGATTACATTGAAATGTTGTTTTTTAATCATTCCCTTGAACCAAATGAGAAATGTAATGAAGAGTTAACAATGTAAAGGTATTTGGCTTGTTAGGTGAATAATGAAGGAATCGTTGAAATGGTTAACAAAAAAGTCGAAGAAAAAAAGAGAAAAGACAAAACTCGAAAATCAAATGCTCCGTAAATCAAGTCAACTGTTTATTTGATTGTCTTTCAGTTAACCAACATTGGTTTTCCCATGAGAAGAGGAAGCCAACAGGGTAACAATGTTCAGTGTGAAACTCATTGAGATGCTGTAAGAAGAGTCGAGAAATGCAAGACTAATATCACTTTGGAAACTTTTGGAATGTGAACTTTTGAAATTGGAAAAGGTAAAGAGGGAAAAAGAACAGAATCTCATGAAATTGCAGGAAAAGATGATGATGATGATTGGGACGAGAAAAGAGGCTAAAAATTTGTTCTAAATAAGGTCAAAGATTATGCATTTCGAGGGTAAAAGGTTGATATAAGAGTGAAGAGCCTTGAAGGTAAAGATGTTAAGAAACTGTGAACTTGATTTACATAGAAATGGGCTTTTCAAGTTTACAACTTTGACACTTTCAAGTTTACCTTTTCAAGACTTGACATTATCACAGTTATTATCATTTTTACCTTTTGTTAATCTACATCAATTTGGATCAAGTTGACAATCATCAATGTCAACTTTTGTAAATCACTTTTCCCTTTTTACACTTCTCTTGTTGCAATAAAATATTTACATTTTTAAATGTAACCCCAACATGTAATCGAGTGAAAAACATTGGAAGTTGAACATTTTCGTTTGTCTATTTTCTCGTTGATGACTTTATTAAATTGTTTAATTTTTAATCATTTCATCCATTTGTTTGCAATAAGATGAGTTGCTTCAAACCTTTACTCGTTCATCTAATTAACAATGATGAATGGTTAGTGAAATGGTTTCTGTCTATTATTAGGTTATTAATGAAGGTTGTGATATTAAAGTTGCGCTTGTTATTAATACCTTTACCTGTTTGCTTATTCAAGCAAAGGTTAATTTAACGTGGAAAATTATTCTTCAAACTTTAATTTAAACTCTTTTTTCGGCTCATTTTTGCAACATTTTGCACTCCTTTCATCCTTTATTCCTTGTTTACTTTTCTTCTTGTTTCAACCTTTTCTCATGTAAAAAAGAGGTAAATTTGGTGAAATTTTTTAACTGTAAACGAGACAACTTGAAACATTGTTGGATGATGAAGTTTTAAGATGTTTTTGTCTTTACTGGAAAACGTTGCCTGGAAAAAGTGGAAAAGCTTGTATTTTAATAAGCTATAAAGAAAGATTATTTTATTTATTATAAATGGCGATGATTAGTTTGGTTAAACAATGAATGAATAAATGTGAGTAAAGGATTTTGTTTTCTAGTTTTTTTAGCCAAAAAACAAAGGCTTTTGTTAACAATTCATAAAGAGTTTAATCAACCAAATGCAGAACAGTTTACAGTAAAAATAAACAAAATGTGAAACAGTTGAATACTTTGAAGGCATTTAATTATCGATGTCATTAAATTGCTTATATGACTTGATTGTAACGAGAGTTACCTGCTGTCTCATGGGTCGTGCTGACAGGTTACAAAGAATACAAAATAAAAATGGATTGCTTTTCAAGTAAATTTTGCTCAGGATTCACTGATTCGATTTTTGCCGAATGTTTCCAAGAGTATTTTAAATGTAAATTCGAGAAATTAGGACGTAAGCTACATTAGAATGTCAACATTTGATTTCACACAGAGGGAAGATTGTTTGGATGGCTTTAATTGCAGCTATTTCAAAGTCTGTGGTAACTTCGAGGTGTCCAAAGTAAACTTTCATGGCTGCAC